GAATACAAAATAGTTTTCAAAAGTATATACTAATGCAAACTCAGTTCTAGGAAATGACAACATTTTTGTTGGCATCTAGATGTAAGCTTATGGCCACCTGCATTGTGTACAACTCCCCTACGACCACCTGCCTCGTACACACCTCACCTGCGACCACCTGCCTCATACACACCTCACCTGCAACCACCTGCCTCGTACACACCTCACCTACGACCACCTGCCTCATACACACCTCACCTGCAACCACCTGCCTCGTACACACCTCACCTACGACCACCTGCCTCGTACACACCTCACCAACGACCACCTGCCTCGTACACACCTCACCAACGACCACCTGCCTCGTACACACCTCACCAACGACCACCTGCCTCGTACACACCTCACCTACGACCACCTGCCTCGTACACACCTCACCAATGACCACCTGCCTCATACACACCTCACCTGCAACCACCTGCCTCGTACACACCTCACCTACGACCACCTGCCTCGTACACACCTCGCCAACGACCACCTGCCTCGTACACACCTCACCTACAACCACCTGCCTCGTACACACCTCACCTACGACCACCTGCCTCGTACACACCTCACCTACGACCACCTGCCTCATACACACCTCACCTGCAACCACCTGCCTCGTACACACCTCACCTACGACCACCTGCCTCGTACACACCACACCAACGACCACCTGCCTCGTACACACCTCACCAACGACCACCTGCCTCGTACACACCTCACCTATGACCACCTGCCTCGTACACACCTCACCAACGACCACCTGCCTCGTACACACCTCACCTACGACCACCTGCCTCGTACACACCTCACCTACGACCACCTGCCTCGTACACACCTCACCTACGACCACCTGCCTCATACACACCTCACTTACGACCACCTGCCTCGTACACACCTCACCAACGACCACCTGCCTCGTACACACCTCACCAACGACCACCTGCCTCGTACACACCTCACCAACGACCACCTGCCTCGTACACACCTCACCAACGACCACCTGCCTCGTACACACCTCACCAACGACCACCTGCCTCGTACACACCTCACCTACGACCACCTGCCTCGTACACACCTCACCTACGACCACCTGCCTCGTACACACCTCACCTACGACCACCTGCCTCATACACACCTCACTTACGACCACCTGCCTCGTACACACCTCACCAACGACCACCTGCCTCGTACACACCTCACCAGCGACCACCTGCCTCGTACACACCTCACCTACGACCACCTGCCTCGTACACACCTCACCTACGACCACCTGCCTCGTACACACCTCACCTACGACCACCTGCCTTGTACACACCTCACCTACGACCACCTGTTTTGTACACACAGCTCACCTACGACCACCTACAGTGTGCACACCTCACCTACGACCACCTACAGCGGGCACAGCCCAGGGGTCAAGGTAAGCCAGTCGCCACCAGCGACCGTCAATAGACGAAGCTCTCCCTCCCTGTCCACCACACGGCCCTGGTTTTTTTCGGAAGGGAAGACAGCAGAGTGCAACTAGTCACGGTACAGTGCTTAACAGATATATATACTCACGTGATCTATCCATGTGTGAGGAGGCGAGGCGAGACGAGGACCGAGGCAGCTGTGCTGGACCGGTGAGACACTGTTGACGCTCCCAGCTGATCCTCGCCCACACAACACAACGTCAATACAGCTTATGTTCTAGTCAATATTATTTCATCATAGTATTCGTATAAATTATTATGCACTATGTCAGAGTGTTTATAACAAACACAAAATTATTAATATGATACGTTCTCTATTTATTTTGACGGTGCTTTTATAAGGAATTAATTACCATAGAACGTCTATTTTATGTTGTAACCTTCACAGCATCGCTTACAGAATGTTTATGTGGTGCAGTGGTCTACATTCTTGACTCGCAATCATGGATCCCAAGTTCGATCCCGAGGTGGAACAGAAATGGTTGGGCACGTTTTCTTCCACCTAATAACTCTGTTCACCTAGCTGCATAGGTACCCAGGAATTAAGTAACATGTGGGCGTATATTTTGAGTAGCTGACCTAGTGAGACCTCGATACAACGGAAATTAGTTATTGAGGCTGGTATTTTATCCCCTGATTCCATGTATGACTAACCATCCTGTGAGATGGGAATAATAGTTGAACCTATAGCTAGTTTTTCATCTATACTGTGTAATCTTTCATATAGAATAGTGTAGCAGCACATTGCTGTGTATACCTAAGCTTGTTAATAATAAAAAAGTTATTATTATTAACTATAATTAAATCGTATCTATCTGTGGCTATTGTACTGTAATCAAATTATGAATGTACACATTTATTTTTTCAACAAAAATGTATCTTGGTAAATAAAGAATATCAACTTTTTTTCTATTTAGCAAAATTAGGTATAAACAGCAATGTGTTGCTGCCCTATTCTGTATGAGATATTACACAATGTAGATCAGGAACTAGCTATACGTTCAACTGTTATTTCCATTTCACAGGATGGTTAGTCATACATGGAATTAGTGGGGAGATAATGCCTATCTTAATACGAAATCAAACAGAATATCAACTAATGAGTATGCACACAATCCCACCAGTTGATTGACAGTTGAGAGGCGGGACCAAAGAGCCAGAGCTCAACCCCCGCAAACACAACTAGGACGTACACAATCTCCACGAGTCACACATCACACAACACCGCTCCTGTGCCAGGTAAGTCCATTACAGGCTTACTATAGCCCGTGCTACTTGCCCCGCTCCTGTGCCAGGTAAGTCCATTACGGGCTCACTATAGCCCGTGCTACTTGCCCCGCTCCTGTGCCAGGTAAGTCCATTACGGGCTCACTATAGCCCGTGCTACTTGCCCCGCTCCTGTGCCAGGTAAGTCCATTACGGGCTCACTATAGCCCGTGCTACTTGCCCCGCTCCTGTGCCAGGTAAGCTACGGGCTCACCATAGCCTGCGCTACTTGGAACTTGTTCTGAGTAGCTGAATCTATAACAACATCTCCACGAGTGGTGCTGGTTCCACTGACGATCCAGATGCTAGAATTTGTTCCTCACAAATGTTGGACCAGTCAATGGGTCAACAGTAGTCGTCACTGGTTTTCAATTTCACTAAGTTTAGAGGTATCAGCTAGAACCAATGCAAGTTCTGAAAATGGTGGCTATGATTAGCTAAGGCTGCATATGCTAGTGACTAGTTCTTCACCTTTCTGAAAGTTTCAGCAATACTTGGGATGCAATATAGAAGCTCTTTGCAAGCTCCCACTAAAACCTTATGACATCTTTGTTAAGCACTTTGAAGCTTTTCACGGGTCATAACATTGTTCTGTCTGGAAGTGTAGAACAATCGTAGCTAAAGTCCATTATCTCCAGGGGCAGATAAATGGAATTGAAGCCCGAATTAACATGAAGCTTTGCATAATGAAGATGCACGATTCTTCTCGGCATTCCAGGTCAATGTGAATGCTCCACTGATCCGCATCTTTTCTCTCTTTACTCCTTAATGAGGTTCTGTGGAACCAGCTGTAGCTTTCTCTTATCATGAAGTCCATGTTGGAGGGTAATTCGTCAGATGCGTGAGAACAGACTAAGTGCAAGGAATGACGTGTATTTGATAAGAAACAAATGAGGGATATCTTTCTTCATCAAACTGTAAAGTGAGAGATGAGGTCACCTACGGATTTGATGCCTTCAACGTGTCAACTGCAAAACGCTGCTTCAAATGAACTCCCATATTGTCAATACTATATAATCTTTGAAGTGATGATACAAGGCTTCAGAGGGAGTGCTTGCGACAAACTAGTCACATAAACTGAGATGAAATCCTAATTGATTGATGAAGATTAAGCCACCCATAAGGTGGTACGGGCCTGAATAGCCCGTAAAGATGAATTCCTATTGTATCTGACTTTATAATTTCGAACACAGACACTCAAATTCGTGGATTTGTACTCACTGGACTTGCGAGTCCCTCTATCCTTATGTGATGTATCTTACTGTCTCAATAAACGAACTTGAACTTGACACACAAATGTTCTTCACAGGCAATATCAGTCGACTCATCTATAAGTGGTTTACTGGTGGTTCATCACTCTACCGTTCAGTTACAGCCCCGCTCCTGTGCCAGGTAAGTCCACTACGGGCTCACCATAGCCTGTGCTACTTGGAACTTTTTGTTCCCAGTAGCTGAATCTATAACAACAACAACAACGTCCATCACTACGTATTGGTGCTTTCCACCAAACAGTTAGGTACTATCAGTTCAGGAGGTTGGGTTGCTTGCATTGGCATTACCTGGGATGAAACATTAATGACAATTACGGTTGGGAAGTCTATCGCCCCTGAGGGAGGATTGCCTCACCTTGCCGTTATTTTTTCTTTCGAAGGCTTCAAGGATCAACGTCCCCAGAGGCCCGGTCTCTGACCAGGCCTCCTGCGGTTGGTGGTCTGATCAACCAAGGCTGTTGGACGAGGGTATGATTTGTACACATTGCATTATAAAAACATAAATAATAAATCATTAAGTTTCTTAACATTAGTAGCCCAAATTAGCTCAACTTAATTTTAAATTAGCCCAAAAAGCCGCAAGTAGCGAGATTAAAAGTTTAGGAGCTATCAGAAGTAGCCCAATTCGCTACCTGTAGCTCACCTCACTACTTGTAGCCCAATCTCTCAACACTGAATTACTGTGTCCAACCGAATAAAAACAACCCTCTCTCTCCCTCCCCCCCCCCCCACACCATGCTTTTAGCATAATTATAGTAGCAGTACATTGCTGTGTATACCTAAGTTTGCTAATACAAAACAGGCATAATTCCATGTGCCTTTAACCCAGTAGGGACATGTTGGACAAACAACGTTGATTCAACGTAACTCAAGCACGTTTTTCATAACGTGAAAAACGTGTATTCAACGCCAGGTGTTGTAACAATTGTAATTGGTTACAAAAGCTGCGACTATTGTTATTGTGCATCTCTGGGTTAAACGATTTGGCGGGTCGTATTCCGGGGAAAATTAGGATTTAGGACATGCCCGAAACGCTATGCTTGCTCGTGCTTGTACAAGAATGTAAGAATTCTTGTATATAACAATAAAAAGAATACACTGTGGTTTGTTCCCTGACACAATGAATTATACATACGTAAGATATACCGCCTCGATTGGTTTCCATAAATATATAATCAACCATATACTTAAAAACCAAAACAAAACTTAAAATAATAATATAATGTGAATTTCAAGAGAGTAACAAGATGGTGTAATAGGCCAAAAAACACACACAAAATAGTATTATAACAAGGACTCCTAGGGAGTGTGGTGAGGCAGACACGTCAACAACACACGCCTCTGCTCCCGGTAAGGTTAACCTCGGGTTGTATGACTTGTTCACCTCATATTGTCATATTTGACTGCAAATGTGCTACATATACGTTAATTCTCACTGGTTGCTTGCTCTGTGTTGTGGTGTGGAAGGGTAGAGATAGGCCGGAGAGATGCCATATGAAGCGGCATGGTGTGGGAGGATGACGTTTGGGTGTGTGTGTGTGTGGGTCGACCCGGAACCTTCGTGCACGCTGTACCTAACATAAGAGAGGTGAAGGGTCGGCCCTGCAGGTACTTTAGGCCAGCAATGAAGGTGTCCTTAGGCCAGCAATGAAGGTGTCCTAAGGCCAGCCCTGTAGGTACCTTAAGCCAGCCCTGTAGGTACCTTAGGTCAGCCCTGTAGGTACCTTAGGTCAGCCCTGTAGGTACCTTAGGTCAGCCCTGTAGGTACCTTAGGTCAGCCCTGTAGGTACCTTAGGCCAGCCCTGTAGGTACCTAAGGCCAGCCCTGAAGTTGTCCTAGGCCAACTCTGATGGTATCCTAGGCCAGCCCTGAGGATGTCTTAGACCAGCCCATAAGTTGTCTTAGGCCAACCCTGAAGGAATCCTGATGTAGCCTAAAAACTGCCCCAGACCAGCCATAAAGGTTCATTGGCTGGAATGAATAAACATGCCTGGGTCCAAGATATGGGAAATATACAGGAATTTTCTGGTGATAGTGGGCTTCTGAGGATACAGTATATTGTAAATCTTTTTAGTGTTAATGCTAGTTGTTAGTTGTCAACCATATAGATCTATAGACTTTTTGAGCTCAATATTTGTGCAGTCCCCGTGGTGTAGTGGTAAGACACTCGCCTGGCATTTCACGAGTGTTTTGTCCTGGGTTCGTATCCTGGCCGGGGAGGATTTATTGGGCGTCAATCCTTAACTGTAGCCTCTATTTACCCAACAGTAAAATAGGTACCTGGTTGTTAAACGATTTCGCAGGTTGTATTCTGGGGAACATTGGATTAAGGACTTGCCCGAAACGCTATGCGTGCTGTACAAAAATGTACAAAAATGTAAGAACTCTTGTATATATAAATAAAATAAAAGAATATTTGCCTTTGTTTAAAAATAATTGGGTTTGAACCTATAAATGTATGTAGGTTCAATATATATGATAAAAAGTATATGATAAAAGTATATGATATGTACAGTATATGATAAAAGTGGGAAACCAGTATTTATTTGTAGCGTAGTAAAAATAAAGGGTGTCGTAGTAGAGTTGGCTGCATTCGTGACTTTCAACTGGGGATCCCAAGTTGGATTTGTGGGCAGAACCGAAATAGTTGGGCATGCTTCCATTTACTTAATGCCTCTGTTCACCTAACAGTAAACAGGTACCTGGGATTTAGGTTCTGTATATAACTGTTGTGGGATTGCATCATGGGAGAGGGTCCGTAGTTTGACTCTGGAGGGACCTCAAAGACGAATTATTATAAGTTGTGTTGATCATGACGACATATTGGTGTCTTGAAAAAGGTCATGTACAGTATGTAGCTGAGTAATTTCTTACTTCATAAGCTATTAAGAACTGAATATATCATGCCAGCCATTTTTTAATGTATGTTAATATTTGTTACAGATTTTATTGGCTTCTTAAGCCATGCCTAAACGCTCTGATCCAAGATGGTCTGCTCCTGAGGGAGTTGAGGCCCCGAGACTGTATCTGTACAATTCCCTGACACGTAAGAAGGAGCTCTTTGTACCGCAGGATCATATTGTGAGGTGGTACAGCTGTGGGCCCACTGTGTATGATGATTCGCACATGGGACATGCCAGGTATATATATATATGTATACTGTATATGAAGACTGTATTATTCCTCTCTCTTCCTGCCTACCTCTTTATTAACTGCATTCACCCCAACTAGTTGGACTGGAGCAAGTAAATCTGGAGGAGGCAATGCTAGGTTATTCTTTCATTAATACATTTCCTTTAGGTTACTAGACATTAACTTGAGAATTATTCTTTGCAATGATTTCAATTTTACAATTAATATTGTATATGCTCATTATATGAAATGAACATATAATTATTCATTATACGTATTGCATTGTAGGTACTGTACCAGTGCCATGGGATACAATACTTGGTACATATCTCCCACGTACAGTTATACAGAATGGACTTGGTGAAACAAAATGAGTGCTTAGAAGGACACTATATATATTGTCCACTTACAGCCTTTTTTTCTTGGTAGCCTCAAAAGGTAAGCCAAGGCCCCAGAAGAATATCATAAAAATATTTGAAAAAAAAAGTAAGAAAAACCTTAATGACAGAGTGGTGTTGCCTGTAAATGAAGGCCATAGTCACCCTAAAGTATTGGTCTGAAAACAGGAGTTGGCACCCACACACAACATCTGGTGAAGATGTATTAGTTAGAAAAGTATCAGGCAAAGAGGGTGGACGAGAGCCACACACAAACCTTGCTGATAAGTAAATACAAATGTCGGTTAGATCTCCAGAAGCCTGTCACTCGAAGCCAGACATGTCATTGCTAAAAAAGTTTTGAGTCATACACTTAAAGGTCATCCGGGCAACAGAGTTTCACTCATTTTAGAGATGATTTGGGACATTCAGGCCTTTGCACACAGGGCAAAACAGTACTGCACTGTACTGTAATTCTGAAGCTAACAAAGCTTGCTAACAAAGCTTTGTTGGGTCTAACACAGCTTGTTAGACCCAACTTAAGAAGAAGTCACAAGATGGCAGTAACAGGACACAGGATACACTAATAAAACTTGGATGAATAAAAAAGCCTTCAACCTCCCTTTTGTGGTGTAGCCCAGGCATGTCAATCTGAGGGCCATATAGGTCACATTTATGTTATTGTGAGGGGCCAGACATGACAACTAATTGGTCATTTAATGCAAATTATTGCAGAATATTTTTTCTATTATATTATATACCAAATTATGTATCCTTTGTGCAGGCTGCATGTTTGACATGCTTGGTGTAGCAATACTGTATTTACTTAATAGTAATGATAAACAATTTTTTTTAATTTACCCTGCTTTGTGGATTAAGTAAATGTGCCATTTTCTTGCCTGTTCACTATTTAAGCTTTTTAAAAAGTTTAAACTTTTTAATTCTTTTTGCAGGTCTTATGTTAGTTTTGATATTCTTCGTCGTGTTATGCAAGACTACTTTGGTTATCGAATAAATTATGTCATGAACATCACCGATATTGATGATAAGATTATCAAACGTGCCCGCACCAAGTATTTGGTCAAGCAGTATCAAGAGTAAGTTGTGTTTACCAATGTTTTTCGTCATCATTGTTCAATATATACGATTATCATGTATTAAATCTACTAAAACGTTTGGCTCATATTCTTAGAGTGCACATTCTATAAGTTTGATTATTTTTAAAATTTATTCATATTTTGTACATTCCCAAAACTTACATTTCTGAGTTGTGCATTCAGGTGCATTTTAGTACATGTATAAGATCCACTGTGCCATATGACCATGAAATTTTCAAGTATACCTGTGAGGTAATAATATTAAGTGGCGTTTCTTTCCCTTAGTATGGCTTTACCCAATTGCCTTTCTTATGCCGCGTTAGGTCCTGCCTGGTCTCAGCACTGTATAGGTGTTCTGGCACATCTTGGGTTTTCTGCATTTGTTGTAAAGCACACAGCATAAGTTTATTCAAACATTTTAAACATTATTTACAGTTACTACTACCAAAAGCACAAAAATAAAGTAGCAAAATGAATGAACAAATGAAATTGGTGTGATAGTGTAAAACAAAGCAGAATTGGCTCGTATTTCTCTGCAATTGCTCATGTGTAGCTGAATCAAATTAGAAGTTTGAAGAGGCAATTTGGTAGGAACCTTTATAATTTTAGGTTTAAGTGTAAGTAAATGCACTGTACTTCATTTAAATTATTTTTGCATTATTATTTTTGTGTAATTTTTGTTATGGTACATGAGCCACACTTTCTAGCATACATTTTGTATCTTTCATCTAATTTATAGTTCACGTTGAAAGCATTTATGGTAATTAATGAATGGGAAAAATCAAGTAAATATTAAATTATCTAACTATTCGAGACTCTGTATCAAGCGTTTTTCTTTAAATCATGTGTTAAGTTTTTTTTTTTTTTTTATAAATACTCTGACAGCAGTGTGTATCAGTTCGCAGGTTAGAAGGGAGCAAGTGTACGATGATATTGCTGCTGCCATGGAACACCATAATGCCATCATTGCTACTACCACTGATCCGGACAAGCGTAAGATGCTCATCGATGAAGTCCAGAAGGTAGGAAGTTTCCAAGTGGCAGTTTTCATTTTTGCTTGTAGGGAGGAGTTTGTGTTGTGTTGGAGATTGTATTGATTCATTCTTTTGTATTATTGTAAACTTGTACACTCAGTGGTTTGAGTTAGACTTGCCACTGTCTCCATTACTCAGATACATGACAGGACTCGTTGCAAAGATCTTTGTCACTGATGATAAAAGTACTGTACAAATCTATCTGTTCAAGCAGTAGTATACTGTACCTGTACTTTATATAAAAACTGATTGATCTCCCAGTATCTGATACATTAAAATTATAAGGTAGGCCATGGGAATAAGTCACATTAAAGCCATGCAAGAAACTAAGGTGCATTGGGTTGATCTACAGTACTTTGCAGTTGAAAGTACAGTTCTGTATAATTTTACAATATTTTAAGAGAAACTTGTACCCAATATTTTCATCAGGTAAAAGATGCAGCTCAAGCTTTGAAAGTTGCAACAAACTCACAGAATGCAGCAGAAGCATCATCTAAGCAAGCAGAGCTCTTAGACAGTGCCTCAAGTGTGCTAGGCGAATGGCTAGATAAACTTAAAGGAAAGGATATAACTGACAACTCTATCTTTGCTGAACTACCACGCCATTATGAAGAAGAATTCAATAAAGACATGGAAGCTCTAAATGTAAGTCTTATCTCCATATGCAGTGCATATATTGTCTCTCTTCCAGGAATGTGTTATATGAGCAGCCTGGTGTGTGCTAATCCTCTAGTACATACATACTTCCATATTTGTATCTGTATTTGGCATACTTAAGATATATGGTACAGTATTATAGATTCATCTTTTCTAGTAATCTGTAGCAGTTTTATTGAAGAAGAAAACATATGTTCGAGTAATACTTTCACACTATTCTCTTAAGTGGTTTGAATTTGGTGATTCAATGAGATTTTTTTTAACCAGTTAGGATATTTCTGTCAACCAATGCTGATAGTTAATTTTGTTTTATCTTGCTGACCACACTCGACTTTGGCTTAATTGAAAGAGTAAGGGTATCAAAATATTACTTGACATTTTACAAAAAGCAATTTTATGCATTAAATTAGTGAGTGGAGAAGTGCTAGCATGGTTAATCTGTTTAAATATCTGGGATAGTTTTACAAAAAATAAGAGTTTGTGTTGTAAATTTTGACTTTAACATTATTAAAGGTATACCTCAAAGATTAGCAAATATTTAAACAACAAAAATTTATCTTTCTTTACCTTGGCTTCTTTGAACAGATTTGTTGTTCCACAGTTGTGTGCATGAAATAATGTGTCCTCTATTTTTCAGGTACTTCCTGCAGACGTTATCACGAGGGTCTCGGAATATGTACCGCAAATTGTCGAGTACATTAAAACGATCATATCTAACGGTTATGCTTATGAATCTAATGGCTCGGTGTACTTTGATGTGGGCAAGTTTGATGCCGAACCCAATCATTATTATGCTAAAGTAAGTTTCCACCGTGTACAAAATTCACTAATGGTGTTCACTTTCCCTGAAAATTTTGATAACAATGAAGCAGCATTTACAATTCTTAGTCTGTTTTGGTAAATGCAACCAATTTGAAATATTGAATAAACGAGTTTTAGATCTTGTAAAAATATTAGTAAAATTTTACTTGTAGATATAGCAGTTTAATATCAGGCATAAGTGAACTGTGTAGCCTGTAAAGGAAGCTACATTTCTACACTTGGGATATATTGTATTTTTCAAGTACAGTTTCAAGTGTATTGTACTGTACTTTTCAAGTATAGTACCAGTAATAAACAAAAAGTACTACAGTGATTATTTTTATTCTTTAAATACTGTTACATATTTTATTAGTATGTAATTGTATTGACTATATTATTGGCCATTGTTTACAATCTAAACATTTACTTTGCAATCCACAATATCCTGTGCATGAAAAGTAGTTTTGTATATTCAATTTTAATGTTGAAAACAGAAAAAAAGTAAAAAGATTTAATGAAGCTTGGATATAGTGTATTGAAGTACAAGAGTGAGGTGATGGTTGACATGACGTTTGATGAATGTCAGTTGGCATGGTATAAGGGTGAGGTGTCAGATAAAACAGATGATACAGTAGTAGAGTAAAGAAGAGTGAGAGTATGTCATAGGGGAGTAGATTACTTAGTATCGCAAGAAAAGTGAATGCAAGGATGAATATTGAGAGAAAGAGAGAGCAAGAGAAAAGAATGTAGTATGAGGCAGGAATATGGCGAGTCTAGAAAAGGAAGACAGTGACCTGAATTCAATGATAAAAAAAGGTAGTACAGGTATGTTTAAATACTCAGGAGCAGTGTTAGATGAAAGTGTAAGCATAGAAGTGGTAAATTAGAGAGATTAATAAGTGGCAGGAGATGTAAATAGTAAAGAATAATGAAAGGAAAGAATGTTAGCAAGAGAGTAATGAAAGGATTGAGAGATAGCATATTCTATTTCTAGCCTTGAAATGGAAGTAAATATTGGGTATAGAAAAAGGCAGTGTGCTCAAGAGTATAAACAATGGTGACTAGTTTTTGAGAAAAATGGCTTTGGGATGGGCAAAGTGATGAGGAAGTATATTGAGATGTGGTGGGAGGGAAAGATGTAAGGTAAAGAAATGTGAAGTAGGTGAAACAAAATACACACAAGTTGTATGACCATGTTACGAAGATACCTGTCACTTAGCAAGGTGGTTCTACAAGTGAAATGTGGGATTTGTGTAGTAGAAACGGGAAAGGGAAGAGTGGAATAGTATATAAAAGAAAGGGTTATAGAGCTTCGGAGAGTAAAAGATATGTGTGGTCAAAGAGCCTGGTATAGAAAATCCTGGTGGGGTACAAGATGTGACCATTATTACTAATTACTTTATAATGAGATAAATTTATGAAGGTAACAAGATATTTGGTTGACAGTTGGTGCCAGAAGCCTATGGCAATCAGGAAGCTCTAGAGGAGGGTGAAGGAGCCCTCTCGTTGAACACCGAACAGGAAAAAAGAAGCCCTAATGACTTTGCCTTGTGGAAAGCCTCCAAGCCTGGGGAACCAGCCTGGCCCTCCCCATGGGGTTCTGGACGCCCTGGCTGGCATATAGAATGTTCAGCCATGGCCTCGGATATTTTGGGCGAATCTCTGGATATACACACGGGTGAGGCCCTGCCTTTTTTTTTATCTTAATTGGTCAGTCATGATTTAGCCTCACAAAAATATCAGAAGTGAAAAAGTAATAGTTACAGGAACTGTGAAAAAAACAAAATACTAGTAATTTTAGTAATAACTTTTATACTAATAAAAGGATAACAATATTTTATCTTAAATGTTAAAAAATAGCAAGCTTAAAATGTAATGGAATCTCAGTTGTTGCAGAAAAATTCCATATGACTTAATTCAAGCAGGAATACATTGTATTATCATAGAATATATTTATTGTATTGCTTTATAATGTACTTTAAGCTGTACACTTAATTGTCCAGAATTATCATTTCCTTTTACATTTTTCACTTTCCTCATACATACTATACAGTGAAACCCTGATAATCCACTTGCTTATAAGCCAGAATTATAAACTGTTTCAATGCAGCAAGGACAATCTTGTATTCTTCAGTGAATGATCATTATTTATCAGTCGTCTGATTCTTACTATCGCAGTGAAAGTCTAAATTAGTTCTCTACTGAAAGCTAAGAGCTCAGGGAATTTTTACACCTGTCAGCAAAACAGGAATTTATTATATGCAAAGAGAACTTTTTAGTTTACTAAACACACTACAAAGCATTGCATTCACATGTTTAGGTCATTTAATTTGTTTAATTGTTAACTTATGAGGTTGCAGAGCTAAAAGGGAATGTAAGGTGGGTATAGTTTGAGTACCCCCTTGACCTATATGCTGACACCCGGTGGTGCTTCGGGGTAGTGACTGGGCGGTCCAATTGGTGATTAACAGAGCATTTCTTTATGATCTCTTTGATGCTGGGTAGTGCTTAAAAAAAAGGGTTTGAATGTCTTCTCAAGGTCATTCAGGGCTGGATTGAGCATTGTCTCCTTTGTACCAGTATGATTCAACAGGGATGTTTCAAAGTATTCCATTGTCCCAGTTCATACTGGTGACTTGCTTTGTGCATAGTCCTATACACAGGAACAACAGAGCCTCACCTGAGAGCATCAAAGTGCTTTGCTCAGGAAAAAGCTTTTCATCTACACTACAATCCTTTACTTTTCTACTTACTAATCTTTCCATATATCTTTCATCCAACCACTTAGGGTGGACGGTAGAGCGACGGTCTCGCTTCATGCAGGTCGGCATTCAATCCCTGACCGTCCAAGTAGTTGGGCTCCATTCCTTCCCCCCGTCCCATCCAAATCCTTATCCTGACCCCTTCCAATAAAGTCGTAATGGATTGGCGCTTTCCTATGATAATTATAAAAAACAAATCCACATATCTTTTACTCCCATGGTACTCCTCCTTTGTTGTCTCTATTATCGTTAATTTTTCATTCACAGATTTCACTTTTTCTGCTGTTGCCACTCGTGTTTCCTACCATGCACCTCCTCTCATTTTCTTCACCTACACTTGAAGCCTTATTTTTATATAGTTCTATTGTTTAATGACATGTTCTGCTATTAAAATTTATGGAATTGTGGCAAATTCTAATAAAAATTTAGCACAAGGGATTGGTAAAGCATGTAAAAACAGGCCATTTATTTTGTATAGTTTTTGTTGACCACTTCTGGGAACTTTTTTTTTTTTTTTTGTGAACTATATTTGTGGTAGAGTATTTCTTTATATGAAATATTTATATTTTGTAGGTGGTGTTGACCTCAAGTTTCCCCACCATGACAATGAACTGGCTCAGTCTGAGGCTTACTACAACAATGACCACTGGGTGAGTGTCCCACTTGTGTTTTACTGTGTTGTTGTTGTATCATAATGCAAGATTTGGCTAATCCCAGAATTTAAGTTTTAATTGGTAATACTGTAACAATCAAAATTAGGCTAGAATTGAAAGGCAAATAAGTTAATTGTTACACATGATTGGCAGGTGCATTACTTCCTGCACACAGGCCACTTGCACATAGATGGCTGCAAAATGAGTAAAAGTCTGAAAAATTTCATCACCATCAAGAAGGCCCTCGAGGACAACTCGGCTGCCCACCTTCGCATTGCCTTCCTCTTACATGCCTGGAAGGATACTCTGGATTATAGCTCGTAAGATAGCTTTTAATTATTTCTGATGGCATGTCTCTATCTGGAGGTAAATTTGTTAATGCTTGTGTTATAAAATACCATAGCAATTTTTGAACTAAATTTCCATAATATGAGCTGTCTTCAGTTGGTATGGCAGCATAACCATAGGCATAATTAAGGATTGCTTTTTCTCCATTTCATGGTTCTTTCTCCCTAGTAACAGCTTTATTTGTTACTTGTTCCTTTGCCAGGTAGTTAAAATTGAGTCAGTTATTATAGCATTCTGAACAAAATACCAACAAACAGCTGTGCAGTGTAACCTCAATAAAACAGGATAATTTGAACTATGCCCATTTCAACCTTTCAAGGTTTTCTAAGTTTGTTATTAACCATTAGTTCTTTCTTTCTTTCACCAATTATAGAAAACTTCTTTGCTCATATTTAAATGAAAGTACTGTATTATCATTAATCCATTTCTCACTTTGAACTTTTCTAATAGGTCCTGCAGTTTCATAAAAGATGCTAGTAGGGGTCACTAGAGATAAACTCAGTTGAACCCAGAATTACCAATTATACTTTCCATGTAAGCTGAAAGCAGTGCTAGATTTCTCGCTTGTGATCAAAACGAAACCTGTTTAATTGGCTATTGCCCTGGTCATAAGCTTAATATCTCTTAACACTAAATAGATAGTGGTGCCTCAGCCACAAGATTGTTCCCAGTAATGGTGGTAATACATCATCAGGAGGTACATGCCCCCTGATGACATCATTGTTTGCAATGAATCCCTCACTCCAATTGTTGCAGGCTGACTCTGGAGTTGGTCCCATATAGTTTGCGAAATTGAAGATGAATTGTATTGTACAGTATATCCAATCTAAGTATTGTGTGAGGTGACATTGTGCTGAAGTTTGTTAGACTTGTCGCTGTTATTTAGCGTCATTATATATTCAACTAGCATACTGGGATCTATAGTCCCAGTATAGTCCCACTATAGTATATCTGTAGCTACTGTACTGTGTACTCAAATGTATCCACTTTGAATTGAATTTACCTGCCGGTAATATATATATACATGTATATATGCAATCTAGCTCTCAACATGTTAGCTTCAGAATATATCGCAACTCTGTGACATTGTTGCAACCTAATACCCTTATCACACAGGAATACAATGGAGGGAGCACGACAATTTTACAAAATGTTGAACGAATTCAACTTGAACATACAGGACCTGATTCGTCGCACTGGCTGCACAAGCACAGTATGGACATCTGAAGAGAAGTGTCTGCAATCTTTATTCAATTCTGCCAGGTATGTTATTCAGGACTGCAGTATGATTAAATTACTAAACTTGCTGTGAAATCCTATATGATGAAAACTGTGATTGAACTTTTTGTGCCTTCCTATAATACATACTGTACCTTTTAAATAATTACTAAGGAATTGTGCAGACGAGGAGTCACAATAACGTGGCTGAAAAATGTTGACCAAATCACACTAGAAAGTGAAGGGATGGACTGAAACATCATTGTCCCTTCACTTTCTAGTGTGGGGGTTGGTCAACACCAGGAACTTGTAATCATATAGGCATCTCCACTCACTTTTCATAGTTTTTTATTTTTCATATCCATGGGATGTACCCTATGCTCAATTTATTAGTGTGAGCAAAATTAAGATTTTAATGATGACATTTTTAAATTTTTTGTATCTATATAAGATAGTGTAGAAGCTTATTTATGCCTGAGCCACTGGAGACATGACCAGTTTACACAGTACTTGAGTCACCATCAGATTTTTTTGTTATACATTTGAGTGTTCATGTCTATCAATACATCTTGAATAGATGTTGACAAGTTAATGATATCACATAAATTTGTAGCTTAGGTATACAGCATATGATTTGTCTTTCCTCAGAGTTAATGTCCACAAAGCCCTTTGTGACAACATTGACACGAGAACGGCTTTGGATCACATTCGAGACCTCCTTACAGAAGTCAATAAATATATGAATAGCAATGTTAAGGTAAAGGATAAATATGTGTACTTTGTATAAATAAACAGATAAATGGTATGTAGTTTAAAGCAGCTAATATGCAGAGCATTTCTGGCAACAGCAACACTAATTTTGATGTAGGATAAAACCAAAGTCGAGGTGTCTTAAGTCCCAAATACTACCACTGCTCCGTTAATTTGGAGCAGGGAAATCCTTATTTTGTGAAATAAGCAGTGGAATCCTTATTTTGTGAAATAAGCATGAAATCCTTATTTCGGCGAAATAATTTCAACCCCCAAAACGACTTGATTCTATCTGGATTTGTGAAGAACCAACTGTTGATTTTAGGGGTTCAAATCCCTTCTTTTCTTCTCGGCAGTGGTATCATGTGTGCCTCATACATCTTGGCCTTGATTGAGTTATGCATTACTCTTAATACAAAATTTGTTTGTGATTTGACCCTGTATTTTCATGTTGTATAATAGCTGTCATAATTGCAGACACAGGAGTGGCATCAATTTGAATGCTTACAAATTGTACACCAAGCAGTCCATTCTTGAATTAAAGAATAGTTTTGTTTTCAGTTATTGAAATTTTTTTTACAGGATATTAGTCTTGGATTTAATATTGACATTGTATATTCCACTTTTCTCATTGTTTCTAACTGGATTTTTATTTCCCAGGTAAACTCACAATTACTAATAAACATCAACAACTTTGTAGGGAAGTTGATGAACGTCTTTGGGGTTCCTATTGGAGAAAGAGTTGCTTCTCTTGGCCAGGTAAGATAATAGTTTTTATCTGTTTTTACTACAATATTTGTATATCATTTGAATTCTCTACTATTTTCTTCTGATTAAATGAATGAATTAAATGAAATGAATAAAATAAATGAAGTGGATTATTTTCATTATTTTTGTCCTAGGAATCAGAAAAGCTAATTGCCGTAGCAGAAGTGGTTGCCAATATCCGAGAACAGCTGCGGCAGTGGTCTCGCGATAAAGAAAAGGATGTCGAGGCACTTCAAGGAGAGCTGCTGGGTCTGTGCGACAGTATCAGAGATGATCTCTTGCCGCCACTCGGCGTTAGATTAGAGGATCGAGAAGGGGGTCAGTGACTGATAGTTGACTTGTTTTGTAAAGATTTATTGAATGGACCTTGCTATTACAAATACTTTTAACATTATTTATTGTAGCTATACATTACCTCAATGAATTACTGTATTATGCTCCTTCTGTTTTGGTGGTGGGGGGAGGGGAGACATGGTTTTACGAGTGACAGTGAAGGTTGTGCTGGTCATCTCCGGCGGCAGGGATGCTGTGTCTGACCAGTGTATTTTCATTAGTTTGAAGTGAATAATATGCATGTCTGGTAATGAATTTAAATTGCCATTTTTTATTGTGATGGAAGTTTAAACCTAACAGTATAGCACTTTTTTTTTTTTTTCAGGGTCCCCATGCATCAAGTTGGTAGATGCAGCAGAACTGATGCAAGAAATAAAAGCGAAAAAAGATCAAGAGGCAGCAAAAAAACAAGAAAAGGCCAAAAAGAAAGAAAAAGCTGTGAAGCAACCCAGTGAGGCACCAAAAGATCCTAAGGATATGTTCCTCACGTCTGAGTATTCACAGTGGGACAGTAATGGCATCCCAACACATGATAAGGATGGAAAGGAAGTCTCAAAAAGCCAGGTGAAGAAGTTGACCAAACTAATGGAGGCACAGAAAAAGAAGTTTGATAAGTGGCAATCTCAACCACAGTCGTAGTATTTTAACAAGAGTATGCCAGGTGTTACATGGTAAATGGAGCCTCGGGGCTACGAATTAATTTATTGTCAACTACTGTATTAATATTTTACTGCTTTGTCAACATTGTACTATTTTAACACAAATATTTGTGACAATTAAACATGGGATGATGGATTTGATATTTTGATTTTTAATAATGCCATATTCTACAAAAATCTTGTCAGTTATTTATTCTTTTAATGGTTTGGTGCAGTATCTCGACCTTATCAACACAGGGAATTTGAAGTGTATGATATTGAATTGTTCTTCTCTTGCATATTTAACAATCTGCATCATGCAAATGCCTCCTGAAGGTATCTACAGTTGCTTTGAATCCCCTCAATGGAATGAATCGACTGGTCCCATATGGTTAATCAAAGCACTGTATGTATGAATGAGATTATATATATACATATATATAATATTTTTTTTTGAGCCCAAACCTCCATGCAGTTTTCAAAATATCTGAAATGTCAGAAATTTGACTCCTGAGCGTGATTTTTGAGCCGAATTCTGACTGCATCTATTTTCAGTTTCAAATTACGACATTTTATACCGAAAATATGCCAATTACTGAAAACGGCGATGGGTCAAATTTTGCCCAAACCGCCCTACAATTTTCAAAATATCTGAAATGTAGGAAATTGGACTCCTGCGCCTGATTCTTGAGACGAATTCTGACTCTGCACCAATTATCATTTTGAAATTACGAATTTTTATACCGATAATATGCGTATTACTGAAAACGGCGATAGGTCATATTTTGCCCAAACCCCCCTGCAGTTTTCAAAATATCTGAAATGTCGGAAATTTGATTCCCGAGCATGATTTTTGAGCCGAATTCTCACTCTGCACCTATATTCATTTTCAAATTACGACCTTTTATACCGAAAATATGCCAATTACTGAAAGCGGCTATGGGTTATATTTTGCCCAAACCCCCCTGCAGTTTTCAAAATATCTAAAATGTCGGAAATTTGATACCTGAGCCTGATTTTTTATCCGAATTCTGACTGCACCTATTTTCATTTTCAAATTACGACTTTTTATACCGAAAATATGCCAATTACTGAAAACGGCAATGGGTCATATTTTGCCCAAACCCCCCTGCAGTTTTCAAAATATCTGAAATGTCGGAAATTTGATTCCAGAGCCTGATTTTTGAGCCAAATGCTGACTCTCTGCATCTATTTTCAGTTTCAAATTACGACTTTTTATACCGAAAATATGCCAATTGCTGAAAACGGCAATGGGTCATATTTTGCCCAAACTCCCCTGCAGTTTTCAAAATATCTGAAATGTCGGAAATTTGACTCCTAAGCTTGATTTTTTAGCCGAATTCTGACTCTCTGCATCTATTTTCAGTTTCAAATTAAGACTTTTTATACCGAAAATATGCCAATTACTGAAAACGGCGATGGGTCATATTTTGCCCAAACCCCTCTGCAATTTTCAAAATTTCTGAAATGTCAGAAATTTGAATCGTAAGCTTGATTTTTGAGCCGAATTCTGACTCTCTGCACCTATTATCAGTTTCAGATTACAACTTTTTAAACCGGAAAGATGCCAATTACTGAAAACGGCGATGGGTCATATTTTGCCCAAACCCCCCACCCTGCAGTTTTCAAAATATCTGAAATGTCGGAAATTTGATTCCTGAGCCGAATTCTGACTCTCTGCACCTATTTTCATTTTCAAATTACTTTTTATGTCGAAAATATGCCAATTACTGAAAACGGCGATGGGTCATATTTTGCCCAAACCCCCTTGTAGTTTTCCAAATATCTGAAATGTGGGAAATTTGACTCCTGAGCCTGATTTTTGAGCGAAATTCTGACTCTCTGCACCTATTTTCATTTTCAACTTATGACTTATTATACCGAAACTATGCCAATTACTGAAAACAGCGATGGGTCATATTTTACTCAAACCTCCCTGCAGTTTTTAAAATATCTGAAAAGTGGGAAATTTGACTCCTGAGCGTGATTTTTAAGCCGAATTCTGAATCTCTGCATCTATTTTCATTTTCAAATTACGACTTTTTATACCGAAAATATGCCAATTACTGAAAACGGCGATGAGTCATATTTTGCCTAACCCCCCTGCAGTTTTCAAAATTTCGGAAATTTCGGAAATTCGACTCCTGTTCGTGATTTTTGCGCAATTTCTGACTCTCTGCATCTATTTTTAGTTTCAAATTACGACTTTTTTACCGTAAATATGCCAATTACTGAAAACGGTGATGGGTCATATTTTGCCCAAACCCCCCTGCAGTTTTCAAAATATCTGAAATGTCGAAAATTAGACTCTTGAGCGTCATTTTTGAGTCAAATTCTGGCTCTGCACATACTTTGAGTTTGAAACTGCGACTTTTTATACCGAAATTTTGTCAATTACTGAAAATGGCGATGGGTCACGTTTTGCCCCCCCCTCTACAGTTTTCAAAATATCGGAAAATCGGAAATCTGACTCATGAGCGTTTTTTTCTTAATCGAATTTTGGCTCACTACACATATATGGTGTCGCAAATTACGACTTGTTATACTGAAAATATGCAGCTTACTGAAAACTGCAATGGGTTACATTTTGCCCCCTCCCCCCATACTGCAGAGCCTGTCAGTCGCCCAGACGGGATCACGGTGAACCCCTGGATGAATGGTAAACAATTGGTGTGGGACTATAATTGCGTTTCAACTTTAGCTAACACCTATGTTAACTTCAGTGCTGCACAGGCAGGAGGTGCTGCCAATCACCGGGAAGCAGCCAAGTCTCGTAAATACATAGATCTTGATCACCACTTCAATTTTGTCCCCATTGCCTCTGAGACACTTGGTGCCTGGGCTAAAAGTGCTGCTAGTTTTTTGAAGAAACTGGTTTCCAAGGTAACTTAAACAATTAGAGACCCGGGAGTCGCCAGTTTCCTCTTTCGGCGCCTTATTGTGGTGATCCAGAGAGGAAATGCTCAATGCATCCATGGTTCCTGCCCGCCATCTGAGGAGCTGGAGGAACTCTATAACCCGAAACCCGAAATGCCCGAAACGCTTTGCTTAAGCCCGAAACGCTTTGCGTAATAGTGGCTTTAGGCATTGTATGTACTAGCTCTATCTATAAGTCCACCAATCTTTGTAAAAATTTCTTGTATGTATGTACCTTACCTAAATAAACATTTATTTATTATTATTTAACCTGTGACAATAACCTGTGACTAACATTACTGGTTAGTAGTGTTAGCTAATTATGACGCCTAATTATAACTATTAATAATAGTTAATTATACTTATTATATAATAATTACAAGAAATACATCCTGTTGTACTAAGGATTAGCAAATTAAGTGTTGGAACTTTCCAACACCCAGTTGCCAATGATTTTAGACCAACTGGCATGAGATGTTTTGAGCTCTGAAATGATTTCATATCATTTAAATGATATTGGAAGATAATAATTTAATTCACGTTTATAGATATTCCCCTATCTCTACCAAATGTCTGCTAGTGCAACCTAATATACAATAGAAATACATAGATCTTGATCACCACTTCAATTTTGTCAACGTTTATAGATAATCCCCTATCCGTACCAAATGTTTGCTAATGCAGCCTAATATACAATAGACTAGACATGCATCGTAAATATATATATATACACAAACTGCCTGTCCCTGACAAAATGAATTAGGTACATAATTTGGAATTGAAGTTGGCGGGTGTTAGTGCGGGGTGCGGCGGGCAGGAGGCGCAGCGGTGGTGCTGGAGCAGCAGCAGCAGCAGCAGCAGCAGCTGGTGGTAGTGGAGGTCAGCTGGCTACTGTGTCTGTCTGTCTGTGTGTGACCACCGGGGATGTCTTGAGCTCCTCACAGCTGGCAAGGAGCGTGACAAGTGTGAGGAGGCCATCATGGGGACGGCTCAGAGCACCAGGAAGATCACACTGGTCAATGATGATAAGGCCGGCGTCATCAAGGTGAGAAGCTTTTTCAATTAATCACGGCCATAATCTTATAAACAATGTATGTTTTTGTATCATAACTTGCTCTCATTATCAATTGGAATGAGACTCAGTTTTGCGAAATAACGGTTTTACATGTATTTACATATATATTTGTATTTGTGAGATACAGTTGTGTTTGGCTGGGGATCACCGGACATTATTTATGGTAACCATTAATTTCTGAGGTAAGGGCCACTGTCGGGTTAGGCAGTTTAAATGGGTGAACAACTTGACAGTTGTCAGCGCTGCCAAAAACGTGTCAGATGATATCAAGATAATGTAGTTATTGATTGTCTACTCGTCTCCATATATTAATATCTGTGGAAACTGTCAGGGGGCTGCACCCACAAATCCTGTCAGTAAAAGTCAGACCCAGCGGGACTTCTCAACATTCGTGCCACCAAACATGATATAATAGTGTGAAGGTAATGTACATGTGTGTTAGCTGCCAAAACCCTTTAATGTACGGAGCTGGAAGTGCTACAGGGTTAAAAAAAAAAATAAAAAAAAAAAAGCCTTTAGACTATGCTTCTTGTATTCTCATTCACAAAATGATTTGCCCAACTCTACATCATTCATCTGATGGACAATGCCACTGCCATTTCCAAGGAAAAATGAGAAGGAAGGGGGGGTGGGGATCTATACCATCCCCCTGACTTCCTGTCCTCCCATTGAGGCTACTAGGGAGGGGGACTGGTTGTTTCGGACAAGATGCTTCGACAAAGCTTGTTTTCTGTTCGTTAAAAGCGTATATATTGTTATGCTAGGCTGTATTTGCTCAGTTGGGTAGGTTAAGTAAGTTTCAAAATCCGCTGGCGAATCATCTTGTGTACGATGGGACTTGTATCCCTAGGAAGATGGTAGTCCTTGGATAAATTCAGGATTTTACACTAACCAATGTTGAACTTAATCTTCCACAATGATCAATGTTTAAATATCTTGTGATACAGTATTTATATAGTAATTTTTTGCAGCAAGATTGCAGTTAAAAGAAAGAAAAAAAGTGGCAACCGTTTGCTCTTGATATTCTAGTAACTTGGCATAACCCATTGCCAAATTAATTAAATGGCATATAATTAAAGATGTAAATTAACTTGCTCTTGGTATGCAGATTACAATGGCTTGAATTTGAAATAGCAATAAATTCCACTGGAAGGCGAGTGTCTGCATATCAAGTGTGGATAAAATATAGATAGCTTTGAGGTACAAAATTTGATCTGTGAGACACAAAACCTAAGGGTAAGGCTAAAGAATTAAAATGCAAATGAAATGCCAGAGAAGGGATGGGATATTTACCCAAGGGCCACTATCCCTGCAGGGGACTCAATGAGGACAGGAAGCTGGCGGCTTTTTAAGGTCCCCACCCCCCCTCCTGTTTGTCCTGATGATTTTATAGTTGCATTTTAAAATTAAGCATTATATTAGCATTTACTGCTTCAGTGGCAAGGTAGTTCCATGGGTTTATAACAGCATGTGTTTGTGTACTGTATGTGTAAAACAAAGGGTTGTCTCTGTTCTTCACCTGGACAATGCTAAGTAAAGAATTTCTCAACTTTTGGTTTTTCATTAATTATAATAATGGGACTAAGGTCTTTTAGATGCCAATATTATTTTCAGATGCAGTACTAATTATATCTACCAGTATCTATTTATAATAATTTTTTTTAATGTAATGCTCTGCTGGCTAATGTTACTTCACGAAGATTTGTTAATAAATTTTATCCTTTACAGCTTTCGGAATCGTTAGCATATCGACTTCGAGGTCAAATAGAAGGTCAGCAGGCAGAAGCGGATGCTCTAGGGTCAGCAACAGCTGCAGAACCACACGTAGCCTCTGTGGCTCCACCTGTAACTTCCATTTCTCAGGTTCCAGGGGCTCCTAAAGTCCCTGTTGTTACACCTATAGATTCTGAGCTCATTAATCAGAAGCCTTTGATTCGTGAATCAGCAGCTCCAGAATCTTTGGTATCTGAGCCTGTGGCCCCAGAGTCTTTGGTTCCTGAACCACCAGTTGTGGGTGAGTCTCGGCCCTTGGCTAATTTGCAAGTAGATATTCTTTTAGATAATGCCTCAAAATCTATTCCTTTTATACTGCCATCTGTTGCTGAAAATGCTGAACCTTGGCCTTCTCTGCTTGTGGATAATTATGCAAGATAGATTTAATTTTTCCAGATTTCATTTCCACTAATGAATCTTGGAACTCTCTATTACAGTTGAAGAAACCAATTATTACAGATTAAGTGCAGTTGTTTTAAGACGCCCACTGCCTTTCCTGTTGGAGGTGGAAGTAGATGTAGGGTAATAGTAAATGCTGATTACATCATCAGTTTTGTAAAATATAGAGCAGCATAATGTTTTATCCTCTTTTAATTGTTATTGTTTTTATTTAAATCCTATCATGTTAGCATTACTGAAATATGGACAACATTAAAGTCTTTGTATGAGGTGAAAGGAAGGTCCCAAGTGTTATTGGGCCATGTAGCCTACTCACTGGTGGCAGATTTTAAACAATTTTAAAACCTACTGGGGTGGTGGGCTTGTAAGAGATCTCAAGTAAATTTAGTGGCACTGAAATTTCTACACATGCCCTTAAAGACCAAATATTCTAGCTACTCTTGCAAGTAATACTCTGGGAATTTTTACAGTTTTTCAATCAGTATAGCCCCAACAGCCTTGCTTCCTCCTGGGGAGGCCACACTAGATGATTCTACAGGAGGATCTGTTACCACACAAACCTTTCACTCTTTCCAGTTCCTTTTACCCCCCTTCCCTCCACCCATTTTTTCATATACAGACTCCAGTTCTTCTCAGACACTGGCTATCTGCATGAACCATGTGATCCCCATATTATATCTTTTTCAAACACTCCACATTTCATTTTCACCCTTTTTTATACTGTACTCTTATACACTACATTATTATAAGCATTCTGAATTTATACCAATCATGATACTCTTCACAGCTGTCATATTACAGCACCCAGCATTATCTTACCTTCTAACACCTCCACACACAGCATTATATAAAAGAAACTTTGATAATAAAATGAGTTAATTTTCACTTCCATTTATTTCTCCATTTTCAACTGCATACTTGCAGTTGAAACCATTTTTATAATATATATAATTATATGGTTTAGTAAAGTTAATTATTTTAAATTTACAATTTACAACTTTTTTCATCAAACCACATAATTTTAATTGGTTCTTATTAAGTTGCCATCTTTATGATTACCTCTACATTTCAATTGTGCAGATGTGCTCTGATTTTGCCAGTTAATACCCCTTTTATATTTTACTGACATGCAGCAGGGAGGGAAACAAATTAACTTGGCTATACTGTACTTTATAACAAGCTTTAGTGATTATCTTCCCACAGACATTATGAAACGCTTAATAGACTGAAATAAAGTTAATACATTCCTCTCTCCAAAATTTATGGAGATGCTCTTTTTCAAACTGCCATATCTTGGCATTTCATTTTTGCCTTCAGATGTTGTTCTCAAATTTAAATGATTTTAAATTATGCAGATTGCAGATCCAGTCATTTTCAAGATAGATATATCTTAATTTAAAAATATAAACATTACAACATACCTTACAACATACTTACCGTTTATTTTCATCAATACCTGTACTGACATTTAGAGTAAAACTTATTTTTAATATTACTTTTAGTTCACCGGATAGGTTAGGCACATTTTCTTGATTGGCATTGATGGTTTAGTTTGCTTTGGCATGAGATGGCCTGTAGTACATCACTGTAATGCTGAATGACACCTCCAGTGCTTGGCCCAGGACCTAAGTTTCATTAAGGTTTTCAGAACTGTACCAGGTGTAACACTGCATACTACCTTTACTAATGACAAAAAAATCAAATATACAGTACTGTACTTATTTTGTTGTATTTTAAATTTAAAGCCAGACAAGTGATGCAAACTCAGGTAAGGCATTTAGCTCATTGATTTTGTTTCTTAGAGAAACAAGATTGTACATGAAGTATAATTTACAACATGGGTGTCATATTTTAATTTGATATCTTTAATATTTGATTGTATAATACAAAGTAAACTTGAGTAATATATATTTTGTTGCATATAAAAGTTTCAATAAAGTTTCCTGCTGATTCAAAGAGCCAAAGGAAAAGGTTAAACAAACGTTCTTGGTCACTGATGTGGAAATAAAAAGGACATTAGCAGTATCAGTTTTCATGCTTGCACACATCAGTCAGTTTTGCTAAGGTGATTTAGATGCAGCTATATTAAAGTTTAAAGAGGAATTGTGCTCTATTTAGTGATCGGATGTGAAGACCTGGGGCTGCAGACTGGGTTCATTCTGGACAGAAATGTCTTTTATTTTTGCCATTTGACTGGCTATTAAAAAAAAAATCATGAATCCATTTTTGCTGTGTTAATGAATTTGCATGTTAAGGTGGAACCTCGAACCCCATCCCTCTCCCAAAACCTCATGGCTAACTGGTTTGTGGCTCTTGCTGTGGTGTGTAATGCTGGGTTATGGCTACAACATAACGTACATGGTACTGTCACGTCTTCCCTTGTTAGTGTGCTTAACATCCAACAGTGTGGTCTTTGCACTTAGACATGCCAAAGACGTGTCAGGCCCTGTTATGTATTAGTTACTGATAGGAAGTTGGTTTTATCATTTTAGTTTAAGGATGCTTGTAAACCACTTGTAAAATTGACAGTACTTGATGGTAATAAATGTTTAATATCTCAAGGCATTAGTTCATCTATTTTGCAGTACGAGTTAAAATGTTTGATATACTGGTACATGTTTGATATATTTGCTTCATTGCAAACACATTAAAAATAATGGTTAACAACTAAAAGTCTCTTGAATATGTTAAATAAGCAGTGTATTACATGTTATTTTCCTGTGCAGCTCCAGCAGTAACGGAGGCTACACCAGAAATTGATGCATACCCGTCGGCTAAAACCATCACGGTTTCCCCATCCTTACCTTTGCCAATTGGATTTAAAGAAGTTTCACCAAAGGCACCGCCTGCCTCTTCTCAATCGCCTGTTGTCGAGGATTTTGTCCCACCAGATGTTGGCGGTAAAGTAAAGTAAGTACAGTACTACTGAAGAAATTGGGTCTGCTATTGTTTTCAGTATTTTATAAATACAGTTCTTGTGGGTATCAAAGTTAAATGTGTGGAAGTGTTTATTCTTGTAAAAGTTCTTTTCATGCACAAGTTTAATGTGCTCCCTACATTGTTACAAGTTACTGTATTATAAAATACAATACTGTAAGCAGTAATGTCCAGAAGATTGATACAGTAAACTTCCATGGTCCTAATCTATGCAGGAAAGCCAATAAAGACCAATTTAATATAGACTCACGGCCAGAAAAGAAACCTCAAGCAGAACTGTTCTTGTACAGAAGCCTTGATGCACAGGTGGAAGCAACACAAGCCAGATATACAAAAAATAAGTGGAGTGTGCAGATAATGTCACAATAATGTGGCTGAAGATATGATGTCCAAACCACACATCATTAATGGAATATGCCATTACAGTACATATTTGAAAATTTTGTGGAAACTAAGTACAGGCTGCATTTAGAGCAGTATTAAGGAATGCAGAGTTGATGGTATGCAAATGTTCTTGTATAAATGGGGATGGGGCCTGGTAGCCTGGTGGATAGCGCGCAGGACTCGTAATGCTGTGGCGCGGGTTCGATTCCTGCACCAGGCAGAAACAAATGGGCAAAGTTTCTTTCACCCTGAATGCCCCTGTTACCTAGCAGTAAATAGGTACCTTGGAGTTAGTCAGCTGTCATGGGCTGCTTCCTAGGGTGTGTGTGTGGTGTGGAGAGGGGGGGAAAAAATAGTAAACAGTTGATTGACAGTTGAGAGACGGGCCGAAAGAGCAAAGCTCAACCCCCGCATACACAACTAGGTGAATACACAAGAGTGTAATACTCCGAGGAATTTTGATATTGGACAGGTGTAAAAATTGTCAAATGTTCTGCAGATCTCATGTTTGCACTTTTATCAAGATTTTGCATTACATTCTTGTAGCATTGTACATGCCAACCACATTATACAGTGTGGCTGGAAAGTGGTGAAATCTGAACATTAATATTTAATGCCAAGAATTTTATTCAGTAAAAAGGGCTTTTGGAGTTCTCTGAAATGTAAATAATTTTCTCCTACTATACACAGTACCTCTTATCTGCAACATTTTTACTTAATGCAGGTTTTACAGAAACAAAACCCACATGAAATTAAGTGCTGCCTGAACACTGCACATGAGCCCTGTCTTATGTTGTTGCCTGCTGAGGCACAGGTTTGAACACACTTATTCGCCACATACAGTATGTTTGAAACCCACTAGAAACGCTGAGCCCATAGGTTAAATATAGGCAGTACAGTACGTTACCTGGGTGCTTTGCCAAACTGCCAAACACCAAAAATGCAATACTGTATCTAATTGTACTTAATTTATAACATATATTGTAAAAAGTTTAAATAGCCATAAGACACTTCTGTTCTACACCTTATACAGGTGTGAATATTACTGGAGTACTTTTCTGACTAAAGCACAATCCACTAACCCAAATTGTTTGTGTAACAAAAAAGTAATAATGCTAAAGAAATACAGTAAAGATATCAATGGGGGATGTTGCATTGATCTCAGCCAGGATATTCATCAGACCACAAGAGGCACTTGTAGGTAGGCAGACAGAAAAGCAGTCAGTCAAGTCAGTCAGGATAATGTTGATCATGATCACCTTGTGTGTGTGGTGAGTTGCATGTTGTCTTAAGAACTTTTATTTACAGAACTAGCCCAGCCCCTTCATTTAGTCAGCCAAGTGGGAACATAGCACCATGGTCATTATATGCAGAGGAAGCTCACTTGATGGTCATGCGGTTAAGAGAGGAGAAGGAAGAAGAAATCAAGAAACTCGGTCTTGAATGGCGTGCCAAGATGGAATCCAGAGAAAAGGAGGTAAGTAGCTGTAGAGTAGGCACGTAATATAAACTTGAAGTGACATGTGTAAAGATGAAATCCTGAGGTGGAAGCAACAAACACTTAATTGGCCAAAAAAGGCATTTTTAACTGAGGAAAATGAGAGATATGGGTAAGAAATCTATAAATAAATGCAGAGGTAAAATGTATCTACTTGAAAGTAAGACAGTTTTAAGATTAGTGAATACTTAAGATTCATAATGGAATTATAAAACATTGTTAAAGCCCTAATAAGTTTACTTTAATATACCTTAGTCAATGAGTTCCCATTACTGATAGTAAATAGCACAGTACAGGTTTCTCACCTTGTCGGTGTACTCGGCCAAGAGGAGTAAGGTTTTCATGCGAGCTAAGAGTGTCAGTTCGTCAGCTTTAGTATCCTTTAATTAACTAAATCATAGTGGCTGAAATTAATTCATTTAGCAACAAATTGTATTTCAAATAATTAAATTTTATCTAAGGGAATTAATCCTAGATCTAAGTTTGAGAGATGTAATTGGTGTCACTGTTCGTAAACAAACATGACTACCAGCCATCTTGCTTGAGCCCTGCTTTAAGTCTCCCCCTCCCCAAAAAATCAATGTGACCATTAAGCCAATTATAAATTAAATTCATTACCCAATACACTACTATTGTGGGGTGGGGAAGCGACATTTTGGGCCTTTTCTTTAGTGCTAAACTAGTAGTCGCCTTGTCAAATCTTTAGCATTTTTCGTTTGCTGAAATGTTATATTTAACATTTACAAATTGTACTATGATTAGGCAAAGGTAAAGCATATATACCTTGAATAGTTGCTTATGGCCAAAGTGTCAGGCTCGTGTGTTATTTGCCTTTCCATATATCTTCAGAAGTGTTCAAATAGGACAAACAATTCACTGCAAAGCCATTCTTTTTAAAATGTTCACAGAGGAGACAAGCCATTAGACATAAAAATTTACACTGTATTAGTAATCAATGTATTTTCCCCTTTATCTTGTGCTGGTAACAGTTCACCAAGATGGCTCGCATTTCTGAGGAGGAAGTTACTGCTGCTCTTAAAGATGTTGAAAAGTTATTCGTAAATGCATCATGTACTCCAGTTTGCCAGAATCAGCAAGAAGCTGTAATGAGCTGTTATCAAGACCATCCACGACAATCTCTCCGATGTGCAAGAGAGGTGGAAAACTTCTCACAATGTGTCGATTTGTCACGTTTGGTGAGTGTATAGTTTAACATTATGTAATTGAGCACAAATTTGTAATGCATGTGCAGTACTAATAGCCAACACTTGTGTGTTGGTTATTAGTATATTTAGTATATTTCACAGCATATGCTTTAAATTATGTTAAAAATTTAGTAAAATTCCAGGTACATGAACACATCAAAGGTTGGCAAAGTATTAAAAGGATTAGAGATCTTCAAAATGTTTACAGGGTCACGAGCTGTAATGCATGTGGGTGGGTAGGTGTTTTGTGCGGGTGTAGTGTGTTTGTCAGATGTTTAAAAACTACATGCATTGAGTGGTAATATAATGCTATTTCCTAATCAAACATTTCTGGATTTAAAAAGGTAGAAAGAAATTGTCTACAAAAGATTGTATCAGTTGAATTGGGTTTTGGGTAATAGGTTGGTGTTTAGGAGGAAAGGGCATTACCCAGATTACTTGTTAAGGCATTACTGTATTTTAAAATTTTTAATTGTGTGCAAGTTATGCAAGTAATATAAACTCCCATGGCAAATGATGCATTAATGTTGAATTAATATTACTCTTATTGTCTGCTGGGTATTGCCACCAATTTTCACAAGGCGATACATTTGTGATGCTAGGTAAAGATTAAAGTTAGTGTTTGAACACATTCTGTATTATCTTGCAATGTGGAGTACATCTGGAGCTTCTTCGATTCAGTCTTGATGCCCTAGTGTTGGCTCTTGTGAACCACACCAGCATATTATATGGCCAGGATTTTTCAAATAACTATAATTTGAGTGGATGAACCAATACTAGGACCAGTAGGTGTATTCCTATCACTAAATGTAGCAAGTTGTTTGTAAATTAACTTGTGTGGATAAAGTATTTTTTTCCATTTCAGCAATCTCTAATGAAGCAGAGAGCAAGTTAGTTACAAGGAATGAAGTTAATTGCAGTCAAGAATTTACTTCTGTTGTACAGTACCCTGGGAATGTTAAATGTTTCTAGAGGATTGGAATTAAACTTGTATATTATTTGAAGTCTTTTAATAAGTAAAATATTTACATGAACACTGTTTTCATATTCCTGTCACGTGCATTATTAAAAACGTCTATTTCTCAATGCTAGTTTCAAATATTTCCTTCCAATCCATACTTCAGTACAGGTATTATTCTATAGATTAGATAACACAGTATAGGAAGCATGCTCAGGAAAAATGGGTATTTACATCTACATGGTATTTAAAGTTGAATAAACCATTTGCATACTAAAGTTACCAGTTACTCGGCCAGTGTTATGACTGGTGCGACACGTAAACAGACATACTAATGAATGTTGTCACCTGATGCTTGATCCATAATCACAAATATTCTCTATCTCTAGGAGGAGCTTTTTTGGCAAAGCGCTTCTCGGGCCTGAAAAGAATTTTATGGGTACTAAGTAATTGCCAAATATATATACGTTTTTAAAACAAATATAAATTTTATTACATTACAATAGACCTGTACATGAACAATCAAATTTAACCATTTTGCTTGGGTAGTTTCTCACCTTGGGAACCATTCATGCTTTGTAGTGAAAGTAATCTCCCTCAGATCCTTGTTTATAAAGAATGGGTGTTTCTTTCGGAATAAATCTTTCATTTCTTTGTTGTACTGAACTTTCAATAATGAGTCCGATTCTTGGGGCAATTCAGGTAATGGCTGAAATGGTGGAAAGGTATAAGTCCTAAGTACAAATAGGTAAGTATAGGTAATAACATTTGACTAAGTGTTTACCCATCAAATCAAAACATTACCTCAGTGAGTGGATAAATAAAGTTGCTCTAGTAGTTTCCTTGAAAAAAAGCAGTAGGGCTAGGCTAGGTATTACCATGGATGCTGCAGAAGTACTCTTACTTGTTAACAAGGCTCTTCAACAAACCATTAGACCAAGATATGGCAAGAAAGAGGCTAGGTAGACCAATTTTCCCCAACTCCAACTATCTGATACTGCCCATCAAAATCTGATGTAAAATTAGAGGCAAGCTGAAAAAACTGCAGACACTAACTAGGTAAGGTAATACAGTACATTACAGATAGAAAAGTAAAACAGGATTATGGTCAGACAAGTTGGAGGGAGGTAGCAAGGGCAATCCTCCCAAGAATCACATAGGCCCATTGCTGTTCTCAATTTATCCAAATATTCTACATGAAGGGTTTATGTAGAATATAATTCAAGTTTATAACTCAAGGCTAATGAGTCGGTTACTACAGAAAGACTTCAACAAACTCCTGTATTGGACAGACACTTCAGGGTTTATTTATTTTTCTTCAACAACCAAGTTCAAGGTAATGATGGGAAATGGAAAAAGGCCATAAACACCATAAGGGATTAAGCAGCTGCAGCAAGCTAAGGGAAAAACATAAAAATTAGTTTGTACAGTATTAACACCATAACTTCAACTGGATAGCTTTTGCTCCGTATGGGAAGCTCAAACATAAGAATGGTGGTATGTTAAGATTCATAAGGCTTTCAAAACCATTTCAAATGTGACAATGATTAACCTTTACACAAATCAGTTTTAATACACAAAATTACTTTTATACATTCTTACTATGTTAACTGGTGGTACTATGGTAATTACTTGGGTAATTATCTAGTGTAAAAATAATTTCAAATAATCCTTGGACACAGAATACTGTACTGTACATAGAAATACTGAAAATTTGTTATACTTACCAAGGTTAAATAAATAAATGTAAATACAGTACTGTACTATTAATATGAATGCATTGCTTTAGTTACCTTCCCTAGAATGACTCTCAAAGCTTAAAAAAAAATTATTAATCTTGGAGCTGAACAAACCTTGGTCATTTCATATGGCACTTGGGGTTCAGGATGCCAGCACACAATGGTGTTCCCGTCATCAGTCACGACCACAGCCTCCTCTCTGCCACTAGCCTTCCAGGCCTGCTGGAAGCTGCTCAGCTGTGCGCATCGGCCTGATTAAGATAATACTGTACGCTGATACATAACACACCAGTAAGCGTTTCCGATTTCTTATCAATCATGTTCTGTTTGGTTTATTGTACTTATACATAGGTTATTAATCTAACAATCTTAACTAACAAGCACAGTATAACTTTTTCTAAACTAAAATATTTTAAAGTTTAGAGCTATTCTATCAAGCAATTACATTTAATACTGCACCAAAGATCGTCACGATAGAATTATATAAACATGTTGACTGATGATGCTAAGATAATAGGGAAGATAAGAAATGTGATTATCAAGCCCTTCAAGAAGACCTGGACAAAAGTGTATGGAGCACCACTTGGCAAATGGAATTTAATGCAAATAAATCCCATGTTAATGGAAGGTGGAATAGGAGAACAGACCCCATAACCTAAAAATTATGTGAGAAATCTTTAAAGAATTCTGATAGATAGAGATCTAGAGGTGGTTCTAGAGAGAAAACTATCACCTGAGGACCACATCAGAGTATCGTGCGAGGAGCCTATGCAACACTTTCAAACTTCAGATTTGCTTTTTAAATACATAGGTGGCAAAATAATAAAGAAATTGTTCACAATTTTTGTTAGACTAAAGCTGGAATATGAAGCAGCTGTATGGTGCCCATATCTTAAGTAGCACAACAAACTGGAAAAGGTGCAAACACATTTAACTAAATGGCTCTCAGAACTGAAGGACAAGAGCTACGAGTAAAGGATAGACATTAAATATGCCAAACTAAAAGATAGAAAAAAAAAGAGGCGATATGATCACTACGTAAAAAAAAATAACAGGAATTGATAAAACTGATAGGGAAGAATTCCCGAGACTTGGAACTTCAAAAACAAGAGGTCACAGATCTAAACTAACTAAACACAGCTGCCGAAGAAATACAAGACAATTCCCTTTCGCAAACAGAGTGGTAAACGGTTTTAACAAGCTAGATGAGAAGGTGATGGAGGCCAAAACCGTCAGTAATTTCAAATCATAATTTACAAAAAAATAACTAAAGTAGACCGAATTATCAGAAATTACTGGGGAATCAGGCTTAATTGCATCTGACAAATCTCCTTAACCAGATAATTATTTGGCTTATATTAGCACAAATAACAAGACCTCATTAGTGCACATAATATAATTACTCTATAAATGACCAAAATGCCTGTCTACCTTAGGATTATATTACCCTCCCCCCCCCAGACAGGCCCATAAGCAGCCTGTGTCCACTATATCCACAGATTCAGATTTATTTATTAATTTACTTATTTAATTACAAGGTACAATGGGGTGGTGAGAATACATCATATTGGTGGTTTTAACATTCTGGCAAAGCCACTTAAGATAATTGGGGGTTGGATGTGTGACCCCACAACAGTTACCGAACTCCAGGGTATCTATTGGTTCTCCTAGGTAAACAGATCCACAAGGTGAAAGAAAGCGTGGCCATATAATAATAATAAGACCCACCAGCACTGGGGAAGACTTGAGAGGTGTAGAGGAGCCTTCCGGCCCTGTACAGTGCCATGTCCAGCCCTCAGTCTGGCGCCCGGGGCACCACCACCTTCCCTGCTGCAGTCTCGGGGGCCCCTCGCAGGTGTTTGGCACTAAGAGGCAGTCAGGTGTTGAGAGCAGGTGTGTGAGGCCGGGAGGTGTAGCCAGATGTGTGTGTGGAGCAGCCCGGGTGTGGTGGTGGTGGTGGGGGCCCTACCACACGTCTCACTCTCCACCCATCACTACCCACCATCTCACCACACTCTTTACATAATTCATATGTAACATGTTAACTAATCTGGGTCACCGAGTCTTATTTATTTTTAATTCTTGCATTTTTTCCCGGTAATACATATTTTCCAGATGATTATGTTAAATTTGAAAATATTGAAATATATGAATCATATACATAAATAAGAGTAATAAATAATGCTGTAGTAAGGAAAAGTCTCATTGTAAGGTGTAGAGGTCAATAGCTATAAATTTTTGTCGTAGACATAACGACATTGCAAGACGACAGGCCACCAGCAAGGATTGTTTACATGCATTTTATTATCAAGTTCTAGCTGCTTCAGGTACTCTATACTGTCTCTTCTCACTAATTTAGGAGTGGGCATGTGGTGTGTGAGGGCGTGGGGGAGGGATGAGGGGCGAGGAGAGGTGTGAGGTGCCGGCTGGGGGAGGAGGAGAGGCAGGGCCAGGCTCAGGCTGAATCAGCTGTTGGTGACCCTCGCTCTCTCTCTCTCTCCCACCTTCTGGCACGACTCCCACAGTCAGTCTCCCACAGACGCCCAGGTCCTGCACCCAGGGGTGTCGCGAGGGTCGGGTCCAGGGGTGCCACTGCCGGGAGTGGAAACAGAGGTGCTACAGCACAGCAGGCCCTGTTGTTCTACAGTGGTGATGGGTTTAGGGGTGTTGTGGTAGGGGGGTACTGCAGCAGGAGTGCCACGGTGGGAGGTGGGCCCGAGGTGAATGCAGTGGGGAGGGCCAAGGAGTGTCACATAGCTGCCGAAAGCCCTTGGATGACACATTAGAGGCACACCTCTAGGATGCCACAGCAAGGGCAGGCCTTTCAGTACTACAGAAGGCGTTGCCCTGGGTGATCTGCATAAATATAGCAGAAGAGGACCTTGGGAAGCCATCTTAGGGGAAACCCTGGATAGTCTTCCATGGTTTATTTGTCTTTATGAGGGAGCTTTAACTAAAATTTGATTTGATTTTTGCCTACGGAGGCGGCTAGTTTATTGTGCACTACGTACTCGGCCTGTGAGCTATAGTGCAAAAATATTACAGAAGGTCTTAATCAGATCTCAGTGGATGCTTGCCATTATCTTTTACAATTTATCTGTACATCTTGTATTTAATAACAATGATAGCTAGTAACAGAAATGTTTGTACTGCAATTCCTATGACAATGTATTATTACATGTTGGAAATAAGCCTGTAATAGTCTTGTCAATATTATAGTTATGATTTTAGGCTGCATAGCTTGTATTTTCATCACATGTGGATACAGTGCAATAATTTCAGGTATTTTATAATGTGCAATAAAATTACATTCATTTCAAGTAACATGTTTTGATTGATCTCCAAATGGCAAAAATTTCACAGAATAAGTTGTAGTAATGTAGTGTGTATCCTTGTTTTTGTCTTCACATTTTTACATGTCATCTAGGTCCCCATATAGGCTGAATTGCCAGAGATAATTGTAGCCAAGTCATATTTGAGCTGTGATAACATCTGCTAGTCTACTGATTTTGTAACTTCGCCAAACGAGTGTTTTGTTTAACATATTTCATTGCAATAATGGTGCTGCTGGTTCCTGTTGGATCCTTACGGCAACAACAACAACAACACTTCTGCTTTCTTTAATTTCATCTCGTCTAATGACTTTTTAAAATTCTAGATGATAGCCCAAGATTGTGCCTAAACATTTTTTTCTGTACTCACCTAGTTGTGCTTGCAGGGGTTGAGCTCTGGCTCTTTGGTCCCGCCTCTCAACTGAGGCAGGTTGTGGGGAAGCCCTGTCGGCTCCCTGGAGCTATTGGACTGATATTGGCTAATATTAGTACGGGGCTTCGGTCATATGGAGTTGTCATGCCTACTGGGGACCACTAGCCTGAACATGGTCTCCTCAGAGAGGCAAAGGGAGCATTGGCCTATGAAACTCATATGTATGAAAGTGTTCATATCTGCCAGTGACCGGAGATGAGCACCCAGAAAGGTAGGCACTTCAAAACTGACCCCTCCTGGTAGATACCAGGGTTGCAATACCCCATCGGGTATTGCAACCCGAGACCGAACAGAGGTGAAAAATTCCCCCAAGAATAACATGCAAACACACAACACGTCATCACATTGCACATCTCTCATTCATGGCGACCTCCCCCCCCCAGGAGGGGGGTAGAGGGGATCCAAACCCACCAAGCCAGCAGCCTGACCGTCAGTTTGTCGGCTGAAGCTATACGGGGTGGACTCCTGCTCTCGTCTCGATTACCTGAGTGGCTTCACCCTGCTGATGTTTCTTCTGTGTGTTGGTGGTGGCTAGGAGTTTGTACCAAGGGCTGCATGCATTTAGGGCTTCCTTCCCTAAGCACCCTGTGAGTACACCACTTGGAGTTCGGAGTTCTCTTCTCTGGATCCTTTGGGTCCCCATTCCCGTAGGGATAGTGACTGCTTGGTTCGCTACCTCGCCCTTGAGGTCAGCTTAGGTCTCGGTACTTTCATTTCGCCCTGGGGTAGGGAGTGGTTAGTTGCTGGTTGGAGCATGCTGGGCTGCCCAATTTGCATAATCGCAGCGGCCATGACTCTTTCTGGTCCCCTGGGTTGTGGTGCTTCCCCGGAGTTCTCTTTCAATCTTTAGTGTGCTTTCTTGCCCATTTGGAGGCTGCCACAGTCCATATTAGGTGCTACATAGGTTTAGTAGGGCAGTCCTTCTCTGGGCCTCTGGTATTGCTCACCTCACAGGGTCCAGTTTGCCAGATCAATTACAGGAATACAACAGGCGCTGGTGGTCCAACACCTGGGCTTCCCGTAGGGACACACCCCCCTGGGGGCCCTGGAAAACCCAGTCGGGACTTTGTTGACCACGATAAATGAGTCTTCTGAGTCCCAGCTCGCCTTGTGCGAGTTTGAAGGTTGCTCGTTGCCCCTGTCTCAAGGTGACGATCACCTGTATTGCCTCCATCATGCTACTTGCTGCGTTGACAACACCTTCAACCTGGAGTCTTGCGAGACTTGTTTTCTGTGCGTGCTCCAATTTACCCATACTGCTACAACTTAGGTTAGGGGTCAACCGGCTCGCGCATTGCATGCTAGGATTAAGTTGCGGCAACGCGCACGGTTGCCCGGTCGAATGTCCCCGGGGCTGCCTCATTTTGGTTATAGAGACCCGGACTTTGGGTGTTGGTCGCTTTGACCTTGGTTCCATCCGTACCCCTTCGTCCTTCCCCTTGTTGGTGTGGTTCACTGTTCCCCTCCCCCCTCCCCTCGCTTCCGGCTCCCAAATGTCTGAGGGTTTCAGGGTCGGGGCAGGGTTTAGCTGGGGATGAGGCTCGGGCAGCTCCAGGGGTTGTCCCATTTGCAGGGGGAACGGAGGCATTCAAGCCGGTTTCTCCTGCCGAGACTCCTGGGTCCTTCCAGCAGATCCCTTTGGACGGCTGGAGGGACCTGCTGGATTGAGGACGGCTCTGCCCCGGATCCTAGTTTGGTGGATTGGGGGGCTGGGGTGGGAGGTGGCCTGGGATGTTTGAGCCCCTTTTGATCCTGCCTGGGTTTTAGTGCCTTCAGGGCGAGGTCTGAGGTTGCAAGTTTTGGGGGTTTTCGAACCCCCACTTCCTTGTACAAATTTGATTTGGGGTCGGCTCCCCCCGGGTTCATTTCTGGGTTCCCTTGGGCTCCACAGCTGCATCTTTCCGGAGCTTTTCGACCTATTGAATTTCTCCTGCAGAGGTTTGGGAAGCCCTAGGTGTATACCTCCTACTCGACCCAGCTTCCGCCTCGGTGCTTGACCCGGTCTCTCTTGGATTCGGGTCTTCACCATATTGGTTACTTTACATGGTGCCGGCATCATCCTGGCTAGCAGACTGCCCTTTCTTTTTGTTGGGGGGTAAGGCATATATTCTGTCGTTCCCGTATGCTTGAGTGGCGGGAGCTCATTACTGTGTTGCAAGTGTACTTAGTGGGTGCATTTGAGCATTTCAATGCATGCTTATACATCCCTGTGCTTCCTCATGAGGTTGGTGTGCTCCAATTGCACGTCCAGGTCCCTTCCCTTTCGGCTGCTTTGGCTGCTGTGTTTGGTAATATTTCTTAAGTGGATATTCAAGCGCGGGGGTTTTGGAGATTGAACAGGGTCTTGGCTGCCCGATATGTAATTGTCTTGTCAATTACAAATTACATATCAGGCAGTTGTCTTGTTTACATTGAGTTGTGCGGTGCAGCCGCCTCCTAGGTAAGTCCCTTTTATTTTTTCTCTTTGGGTAGTTATCTCCAGGGAGCCAACTGGGCTCCCCTACAGAAAACCTGCTTTGAATGTAAGGAACCAACATTTTCTGGGTAGGTCTCCAGAGGCTCCCTGACACCCTCCCTTCCCCCTTGTCAGCGGTTCTTGTTTTGTGGGGTCGGCACAAATGAGCGGCGCGCGATGTGATGACGTGTTGTTTATTTGCTTGTTTTTCTTCAAGGGGGGGGGGATTTTCTCACCTCTATTCGGTCTCTGGTTGCAATATCTCTACCAGGAGGGGTCTGTCTTGAAGCGCCTACCTTTCTGGGTGCTCAACCCTGGTCGATGGCAGACATGAATACTTTCATACATGTGAGTTTCATAGGCCATTGCTCCCTTTGCCTCTCTGAGGAGACCATGTTCAGGTTAGTGGTTCCCGGTAGGTATGACAACTCCATATGTCTGAAGCTCCCTACTAATATTAGCTAATATCAGTCCAATAGCTCCAGGGAGCTTCCAAGGCTCTACCCAGAAATTGGCATTTCATTACATTCAATGCTGGTTTTACTGAAAGCTTGGCAACGGCATTAACTTTGTTTTGCAACTCGATGTGAGAGGGTATGTATAACAGTTTGACTTGGATCCATTTATTAAGTGTGTATACAAGTCTATCATCCTTTAGAGACAAGCATATTACAATTTGACTGCCAGCTGTTTAGAGCTAGTAATGAGGAAAGGGAGCCAGGTGACAAGCTGTCTTCTGAGGTGTTTTCAATAATTTTGATGCCTACATCGTGATATTGTATCAAGAAACTAATAATCATACACAATTCTCATCCACAAGCTCAGCTTGCTACTAAATTAAGTGCCATTGAACACATTCACAATCTACAGACTGAAAACAGCAGCATCACAGACCAATATCACTACCAGTTGCCCCATTTCCAACTTGATCTAGCCAGTCATGCTTTTCTGGACAAGTAATGGACATTACATGGCAGGTAATCCAAGTTAATTAGTATTAGAAAGGGGTTGCAAATTAATAATTTGCATACAAGAAGTACAGTGCTGTATTAATGTTATCTTCTAAACTGGAAGATCTCGTTTTGCAATCATTGCATGAATATTGAGGCTGAAGTTATTTGAATGGAATATTTTATTTGAGATTATCAATACGTAATAATGTTTAACTTTTTTTTTTTTTTAAGGCTGACAGGATGTCATTAAAGCCTCGTGCGGTGAATTTTGATGAAGTATGGGGTGGCTTATTGGAGACAGTGCAGCAGGTGGTCACAATGGGATCCATTAAACGCACCGTCTGGAATGAGAGGTTCTCTGATGTGTATTCCCTCTGTGTTGCGTTCCCCGAACCTCTTGCAGAAAGGCTCTACACCGAAACAAAGAAACTTCTGGAAAATCATGTTCGAGAACTTTATTCTAGGGTATGTATCTTGACTGAGTGATGCTTCTATAATGTTTTGAAATATGTTTTATTTAAAGTAATATTTTTCCAATTGTAAGCTACTTGCACGGTAAAATTAACCTCAAAATTGTTCTTGGTACAGTATATGTATTGAGGAGATTATATTTTCTACAATATTTCTAGAATGTTTTGAAAATTAACATATGGTTTGTTGACGTTGGGTAAACTGCCACTTCTCTTGTTACCATCTTTTCTCTTTTGAATCAAGATATTGTGCATTATTTGCTTTGCCTATACTTTCACTCAGTTTTGGGGTGATCTCAGCCCCCTGTGCTTCCCCACACCTCTTTAAGAGTATGCCAGATTCTTGGCCTGGTATTTGGTAGGCCTCGGAAAATCCAGAGGCTTGGTTGTTTTGTGGATGTGCGTAGTACCATAGCCACTGCACAAGGGAGCTATTGAGACTACACAACGAAAGGCATTTCATTACATTCAGTGCTTAATTGTCTTGTTAACTCGCAATGCTATTCTCTGTTTTCCCTTATGGTTAAATTTCATTATAAAATGACTAAATTTAAAACTTAAAATATGTGCAATACCCTTCAACTAAAATTTCTTGAATTATTTAAAAATAATTCAAAATATACAGTAATGCCATATTGTTAATTAAATTTTTTCTTTATGTAGGTAAGCAAGCAGAGGGAGGAGAACTTGCTGGCAGAATACCACCGTTTCTGGTTACAATTCAGTAAAGGCACACAGTATCTCAACAACCTCTACTCGTAAGTTGACACACAACTGGCATGCTGTTCTGTTTTCTGGATTTGTTTTCAGGAACAAACTGCCCTTGATTTATGCTGTTATATTCCTGGAAAACCCCTCTGTAAATTAGTTTTGAAGGTACTGCATATGGGAAAAATAAGGATGTGTTCCAGTCTTCTCCAAACGACCCCTTTTTCTACCAAAAAAGGCATGTTTTACTGTGTGTGTGTGTGTAGCAATAGCTACACAATATAGCAATAGGTTACTATCACATTGGTTACTACTGTATCATATAGCAATAGATTACTATCATGCAGGCAATACAGCTTCCACAAATTTAGGAATGCAGACACACCAGTAAAACTTGACACTGAATAACTTAAAAACATAATCTAAATTAAATTGTATGTAAAAGATGCTCTAAAATCGGCATCGTTATTTTCAGCTATTTAAATTCACAACACATTCAGAAGCAGAAGTTCAGCGATGCAGATCTTACTTATGGCACCATGCAGATGGACGTATCTGAACAACTTTTAGAAATAGGTAAGTTTTAATTTTAATATCTTAGTCAGTTTTCAACATTAATTTCTAGGATATTAAAGTTGGAAAACTTTATCTTGTAATTAATGAATGCATGGAGCTAAAAGACTTAATACTGTACATTACACTCATTACCGGTTTCATGCCGATCGCAGGTTGTCTGCAACCTTCTGTTTCTTGTGGCGTGCTTGACCTATATTCAGTGTGTATTTAGCCCATGAAAAATGGAGAAAGTGTTATTCATGGATTACATTCAAGGGGCCTGACAGCTGAGTGGACAGCACTTCAGATTCGTAGCCCTGAGGTTCCGGGTTCGATCCCCTCGGTAGAGGCAAAAACAAAAAATGGGCAGAGTTTCTTTCGCCCTGATGCAGAGTTTCTTTTGCCCTGATGGTCCTGTTCACCTAACGGTAAATTAGGTACCTGGTAGTTAGACAGCTGCTACGGGCTGCTTCCTATGGGTGTGTAACAAAAAGGAGGCCTGGTCGAGGACCGGGCCGCGGGGACGCTAAACCCCGAAATCATCTCAAGATAACCTCAAGGAGATAGTAGTGATGAAGAAAAAACTTGCTTAAAGGGAAAACTATGTTCTGTAATGGAGAAATATTTGACTGCTGCGCTTAATATGAATCATTTGCCTACAGAGAGTGGTGCATCAGCAGCAATGCAGTTTCATAAGTTGTTTGCTAAATACATGTTTTCCACACAAATGGCATTTTACAATACAATACGGTATAGGTTTACAGTAGCTTTTATTTTGTAACCAGATTTATTTGTCAAAGTTGCTACACCAAGATGTACTTTTCTGTGGAGAGCCTCTTCAGCTCCCTGGAGCTTTACTGGGCTGATGTGTTTATATTAGACCGTGGCAACAGTCAGTCGATGGAGTTCTAAGCCTACCGGGGACCACGAGCCAGAACCTGGGCCCCCTCAGAGAGGCATGAGGAGCAATGGCCTATAGACACCCACCATGTAGTTGGAAGCAGTCTGTATCTACCATCTACCAGGTCAGGCACCCAGAAAAGTAGGAATCCCAAAACAAACCAGCTGGTTAAAAATTTCAAACCCAAACCGAACGAGCAAGCAGAACTTCCCAATCAGAAAATGAGCAAACAAGAATGACGTCACCACAGCCGCCTCGCTGCGCCGCTGTCTGCACAGCTCCCCCCTCCCCGGGAGGGGGATCGGCGGTTTTTCACATTTTTTATATCCAGCCTTTGAACTGGGGTTGGGTAGCTGGCACAGGATTAGGAGGTCTGGGGTCCCCCCCTTTCCCCCTCCAGGGGGAGAGGGAAGCTGCGCAGACAGCAGCTGGGTGACGTCATGCTTGTTTGCTCGTTTTCTGATTGGGGAGTTCTGCTTGCTCGTTCGGCTTTCAGTTTGAAATTTTTAACCAGCTGTAGCTTGTTTTGGGATTCCTACTTTTCTGGGTGCCTGACCTGGCAGATATAAACAGCTTCCAACTATATGGGGGGTGTCTATAGGCCATTGCTGCTCATGCCTCTGAGGGGGCCAGGCTCTGGCTCGTGGTCCCTGGTAGGCTTAGAACCCCATCGATTGACTGTTGCCACAGTCTAATATGTACACATCAGCCCGGTACAACTCCGGAAAGCCTCCGGATCTCACCCAGAAAATGGCGTTTCAATACATTCAATGCTGGGTTTTTTCATATATTTCCAATAGAGTTTATTATGTGTATCATTCATAATAATATGAATGCTCTTAGTGTTCATAATTATTTTACTATATTTTATGCACCTCTTAAATGTTGTTATTACATGCTGGCACTCAGCCAAAATCATCATCCTGACAAAACAATATGGGACAAGCTGGCCAAACTTAGGGAAAGTATCTAATAACTTTTTTCATCTTTTTGGATCATTATTTGTTGGATGATTTCCCAAACTTGTGATGCAGGTGAACTTGGGCTCGAGATATGGCAGAAGGAGATGATTACACCGCTACAGTCACGTCTGGTGGGGGTATTGCTCTCTGGTATTCAGCAGGATCGTATGGGAGCGACCACGGATGCTCCAACATCTACCATTCGTGGTGTTATTCACTCTTTTGTCGATGTTAATATGTATAAAAAGAAGTCTACTTTACAGGTATAGTATTTATTTATTAAATCAAATTCTTACCTTATTTTTTTTTTCTCCAGTGAATACTGTATGTACAGTATTTTGTCTTGCCAGTGTTATGTAACTTTGAGTTGTTGTGCTTGAGGGTGAATTTTGAAAACTGGTGAAAACTGGTGAATTTTATTATAATAGCTATTATTTTAGGTTAAAAATTTAGCTAGCTTAACTCTAGAGGCCATAAAAAGTAGAGGCCATAAACTTTTAAACTTGTTAAAATTTCAATAAGTTGACTCCCTAAATTTTGTGTGTTGTTGTGGAAAATAAGTACAGTACTGCAGTAGCATAATTAACAGTGAGTAGTAATATGACTTTGTATTAATGTTTTCTTTCATCCTTTCTTTTCGTTCAGCTGTACGAAACAGTGTTTGAAGCAGAACTATTAAGTGAAACTGGTTCATTTTATTGTAAGGAAGCATCTTCCCAACTTCAAGTGTGTAACGTGTCTCATTACATGGAGCGAGTCATAGCCAGACTGGCTGAAGAGGAACTGCGAGCAACTAAGTTCCTCCCTCCTAGGTGAGTCCTCTATTACACTAACTAAAATTATTTTGTGGACCTAAAATTACCAGTAAAATATTAAAATCTATTTTCTGTACATGCTTTAAATGCGTCACATTGTGTTAGAAATAACTGCCGGGATGAATGGTAGATATCAAGAGCTCATGATAGAGAGAGGCCATTTCATTTCCACAGGCAAAGCATTATTCTCTATGATATGCTGCAAGATGATCTCTGCCAAATCTAAACACATGATTGAGGCAGTAAAGTTATTATGATGTTGAATATAAATGCTCAGGAGAGAAATGAATAGAGATGTTATTGGAAAGAGGGTTTTTGTCAGGTGTACATGGTAACGGGTATTTCTTGTTGGACACCCGTCTTGTTAAACTCTTCTCTTGTTTAGAGAGGAGTTTATTTCTGTTAAAAGTTTTGTTGAGCATAGGTTCATACACAGGTGTGCCTGGAGATGAATGGAAGGTGATGTAAACGAACAAGAGTTTGATTGTGTGTGTTGATAGAAGATGTAAGAGTAGTCTTGAGGATGCAAGGGTATATAAATACCATGATAAGTGTGTGAAGCCTAATAGGCTACTAGGCCCCTAAAGGGGCCTCGTAGCCTGGTGGAAAGCGAGCAGGAATCGTAATTCTGTGGCGTGGGTTCGATTCCCGCACGAGGCAGAAACAAATGGGCAAAGTTTCTTTCACCCTGAATGCCCCTGTTACCTAGCACAGTAAATAGGTACCTGAGTGTTAGTCAGCTGTCACGGGCTGCTTCCTGGAGGTGGAGGCCTGGTCGAGGACTGGGCCGCGGGGACACTAAAGCCCCGAAATCATCTCAAGATAACCTCAAGATAACACTTAGATGGTATGTACATGCTTTGTAGGTTGCCCAAGATGAGGGTGTACAAGGTCAAAATGACCAATATTTTGTAAGTGGGAAAAGTGAAATAACATAAGAGACAATGTGTTGAACAAGAGGTTAAAGAGCTTGGAAGGTTTGTGTGGCGATAGATTCAGGAAGTGATTAAGATGGATAGAGGAATCTAATGTTGATAGATGCTCTATCAAAATGGAAGGTAGAATATTTATTATTGGTAGCTTAAAAAAAAATTCTGGTCATATCATAAGTACTTATTGCAATCATTGACAAAATAAATATAAATATATATATATATATATATATATATATATATATATATATATATATATATATATATATATATATATATATATATATATATATATATATATATATATATATATATATATATATATATATATATATATATATATATATATATATATATATATATATATATATATATATATATATATATATAATATATAATATAATTTATAATATAATTTATAATATAATATAATATAATTTATTATTTATTTATTTATTTATTTTAAGGTGAACTTGGTAAAATATTACATAATAAATATTGTGAAATGAGTATTAATTTAATAGACCTGTTGTATTTTTTATAATAAAACATTACATTTTATAGCTTGTATATTGAGAGGGAGAAATGGATGAACAAGCACATGCAAAGACACTTACCTTAAAAATTAATATTTTTTTGAAATTCAATATTTCTCTTAAATTCTTGATCTTTTAATATGCTGTACTATAATGTCTCAAAATATATATATATATTATATATATATATATCATATATTTTTTGGTGAGATGTTTTAAAATGTTGCAGTTCACATCAGAAAGTGGTGAAAGAGGTTCAGGATCGGATGGTTGCTGACCACCTGTCTACTGTTCATGCCGAGACAGGAGCTATGGTTAACTCGGAGCGGACCCGAGATCTCTCCAATATGTATACGTTACTGCGGCCAGTACCCAGTGGACTAATGCAGCTCGTTCACCACCTCAAAGACCACATAAAGCAACAAGGACTTAAGGCAATAACCAATCTTAAAGGAGATAATGTGAGTAACAGTCAGTTTGAGGATCTGCTAATGCCTTTGAGATCATATGTAAATCCCAGTTAATTCGTAATGCATTTTCAAATAATTGTCTTTTCAAGCAATGAGCAGCAGCTTCCATGAAGTAAAGAATGTGTGTTTTGAGTAGGTGATACATTTGTTACACCTGAGAAACTAAATATTTTGTTTATATTAAATAATTTATCAACTTACATTCGGGATTGAATAACCGAGTATGATACTGCAATATATATAATGCTATAATTTTTTCTTATGTTACTGAATGTCTTCTTTTAAAATTACAATTTAGAATTATTCTTTCTTACGGACATTATAACTTGGCAGACAGCTGTGAGACAAGTGTGAGAATAGTTTCAACCTTTACTCCTACACCTGCTCATGAGCTCATCCTAGTTTGCCTATTGCAGAGTTAATCATACAAACACAAACCAAGTGCCAAACACATTTAAGTGTTATAAATTGACCACATATCTACAGTACAGTACTTAGCTGAATATCAGCATTGCTGTGGCCAGATACACGACACATGAAATAATTCTAAGCACTGACATTTTACACAACACATCCTTAGGTTTTACATCTATAAAATAGACTCTGGTGTGTCTGTATAAATTAACATACCTTTAGTTCATACCATAGGTTTCTTAGTAATGTTATAATTGTTTTTATTTACACTTGGAATGGTATTTTTTTTTTTTTTAATAGCCAGATACAGGGTGGCTTTACCCATGTGTTTACTTTCTGTCCACTTACATTACAATATTGTACAGTATTTTCTTAGTGGGACAATTGTGTAATAATATGCACCAGGCAATAAACATGCTCTTCATTTTCCAATTTCCAGATTCCTGCTCAGTTTGTTGAAAGTCTTCTGGAAGTTCACAAGAAGTACCGTACCATGATTATTGATGTGTTCCATAATGATCAGCAGTTTGTGGGGGCTCTTGATAAAGCCTTCGAGAGTGTTGTCAATCATAGAGGAGCCACTAAAGTTATTTGCCGATCTCCAGAACTCCTTGCAAGGTGAGTAGTAGATGTGTAGAGAAATCTGAAGTGTTAGTTCTGACTCTGAGAAACGTGAACCAGACCTCGATCTTTTCACGCATTCTTATGTACGAGTGTCGGCAGCTTCACTTGTAAGAGTGATGGCTCAAGTAGTGAGTGAACGCAGCTATTGGTTGAGCGTTTATCGTGATCCATATCATTATCGGCCATTATCATCTTTGATAATTACCTCCGTCCCAGAAAGCAGTGTAGGAAAAGTGGGTATAGATATTTAGAGTGGCACGTTACCTGATCTATTATTTTCCATGCTCAGTATTATCAGGAAGCTAGTCTAGCCACAGTCTGCAGTTTTAAATATTGAAGGGTGTGGAGTGTTAGTGGTTACAATGTTTGGAGAATGTAGTATGTGTGCCTGGCAGTGTCTGTGATGAACTTTATTGGGAAGTTTAGGGGAAGACTAATGTGTGAATGTAGTGTTTAGGTGATAATTCAGAAGATTGTATGAGTATTGGATATTAAAAGACTTGTTGCTCTAAGGAGGTTTTCTTTTAACCATACGATGTAATATAAAGATTTCTCCAATATGTATTTAATGATGTTATTTTCTGTTACAGATACTGTGATACTCTTCTTAAGAAGTCTACTAAAGGCCTCAATGAGAGTGAAGTAGATGATAAGCTATGTCACAGCATAACTATATTCAAGTATATTGATGATAAGGATGTGTATCAAAAGTTCTATGCACGAATGCTAGCGAAGCGGCTCATACAGCAGCAGAGTCAGTCTATGTATTCAGAAGAGGCCATGATCAATAAGCTTAAGGTGAGTGAGAAAATATTGATGCCATACTATGGCATCAAACCAGCATCCCTGGACTCCCCAGGAACATGCACTTCCTACTGAACCATGATGAGCTAAAAGTATCCAGATGGGAAGCACAGAACTACCTGACTCGGAGTGTGAAAGGCACCACCTGGTACCATAATCCAAGTTTTTTCAAGCTTCCCACCCACACTCGAGTCGGTGACGATGTTCCCCATCTCTTGCCTCTGTCAATGCACAATGCAATCACTAGATTGTGATGTATCTGTGAAAAGCACTGGGCTGTACGATGAAATTGAACCCATATCGCTAGATTCCCTAAGCTGTGTGTGTGTGTGAGGGGGGGGGGAGTCTGGGCAGTGTGTATGTATGTATATGAGGAGTCCAGGCAGTGTTTGGGGGCGGGCAGAGGGATGTCCAGGCAGTGTGTGTGTCCACCTGGGGTGAGTCCAGGCAGTGTGTGTGTCCACCTGGGGAGAGTCCAGGCAGTGTGTGTGTCCACCTGGGGAGAGTCCAGGCAGTGTGTCCACCTGGGGAGAGTCCAGGCAGTGTGTGTGTCCACCTGGGGAGAGTCTAGGCAGTGTGTGTGTGTCCACCTGGGGAGAGTCCAGGCAGTGTGTGTGTCCACCTGGGGAGAGTCCAGGCAGTGTGTGTGTGTCCACCTGGGGAGAGTCCAGGCAGTGTGTGTGTCCACCTGGGGTGAGTCCAGGCAGTGTGTGTGTCCACCTGGGGAGAGTCCAGGCAGTGTGTGTGTCCACCTGGGGAGAGTCCAGGCAGTGTGTGTGTCCACCTGGGGAGAGTCCAGGCAGTGTGTGTGTCCACCTGGGGAGAGTCCAGGCAGTGTGTGTGTCCACCTGGAGAGAGTTCAGGCAGTGTGTGTGTCCACCTGGGGAGTCCATGCAATGTGTCCTAAAATCCTACTGTCTTCTATATTACTATATGTGAATTTCCATCATCATCACCCTAAATTTGAAGTTGTAAAGTCTCCATAATAATAGTGTTTGGAAGGGTTCTTTGCATTAAGTCATTATCTCATAATCCAGTTTCAGGTGTTTCAAAACTTTGTATTTTTATTGATTTTTATGTTTAAACATTTTCCATCCTTCCATTGAGATTGGGATACAGTTTTAATATACTATATATGGTACAGGTTCATAATTTGCATACCATTTCCACCCAGCCCAACCCTTATGTATAATGTAAACACAGTTGGTTCACAACTGAAAGGTCCCAGGCTAATTTCCCATGACAGGGCACTTTTCCCTGTAACCTGATGCCTTTGTTCACCTAGCAGTAAACAGGTACCTGGAAGTTAGGCTACTATTGTCTTGCATCCTGGGGGAAAGATCAGTAGTTGGGCTTTGGAGACACCGATAAGCTAGCAGGCTTCCTGTCCCTGACAATAGAAACCATCTGATAGGCCTTCCTACCCTCTCTCTCTCCGCCACTTATCAGTAACTCCGATACCACCACTACCATTAAGTTAAATTCTATATCTAGCATTAACATCAATACAATCACTGATAATAATACAATACCACTACACTATACATTTAATGACACTATATCTCCATATGACAACCACAATAAAATACCATTTTACCCACAACCTGCTCTCACCCTCCACCCTCCTTACAATGCTTGTGCTCATTATACTCCATGTACTCATTATGACACCATGTAATCTTTGTAACTCCCATTTATTTTCTTGTTGTGAGATATGACATCCTGGGAATGCCTTTTTTGATTGGCTATGGTCAAAACATATCTGGTTATTTACCAGATTTATTTCTAAATAATTGTCCATTTTCTCCTTAAACAGCAAGCATGTGGGTATGAATACACGAGCAAACTTCATCGCATGTTCACGGATATGTCTGTAAGCTCAGACTTGAATCATAAATTCAATGACTTCCTCAAGGCGAAGAACATTGAATTGGGCATCAATTTCTCCATTAACGTTCTTCAGGTAAGAATTTATGGATATAAATACAGAATAGCTATTATTTTATGGAATTGTTTTTTTTTCATTAGACAGTTTTCAAGTTGGAAGAGGGTGAGGTAGCTCCCTATGTTGGACCATAGGTGACTGTCTCTCTACTTGTCTGTCTATCTGTCTGTGTGTATATGGCTTATGCCTGTGAAATGTTACTATATAGCAAGTAGTGAATGTTCTCATAGAACTCATAGATAACGTTTTCCATGTGTAATTAGGAAAAATCAGAGTAAGAAATTAGTGCATCTTGTGAGTTCTAACTTATTGAGACTGCACTATATATCTTGGCGCTATTACTAGTGCATTATTGCTGTTAATATGTTACACATATTAACAGCAGTAGTAATTTTCGTTTGGCATTAAATAACACTTATATTTAACATTGTGAAGGTGTTGTAATTATTTAAAGAGGTTTTATGGATTTTCAGTTGCTAAAAAGTTAACCATTGTTTCTACAGGCAGGAGCTTGGCCATTGGGACAGACGACTGTCTCACCCTTCGCTGTGCCTCAGGAACTGGAAAAGTCTGTTCAAACAGTAAGCCATGCATGCTATGCTAAAGTATATACTGTACATAAGAAGTAGAATGTATATGGTTCCTACTACAGACTGCTAAAGGTTTTTTTTACCCGTTAATTGTTTAACAGGATCCCGTCAAAGTATTTTTTAATCACAGAGCTTGTCTGGGTAGCTGTCTGTATACCATGCTTAATTGGCTGTATTTGAAATGTTAATGACCTTGTGTACATTTGTGTTAATAATAAAGTATAGCATCTTAAGGATGCAAAGGTCCTAAAAGTATGCAGTATGATGCCAAGTAAAGGAAGATGACTCAGTGGGCAAACAAATGCAATATGTGAAAAAATGTATTCTAAGGAATTTTAAGATTTTAAATTGTTTTTTCTGTTTTATGTGACTGATATTTTTAATCCTGTAGATACAATGAATCATTGCTTTTATAAAGAGATGCATTGTAAGACACCTTGCATAAACTAAATCTGAGTAGATTTATGTTGAGAGTCTTGTTGGAAAAATAAGGTACATTCTGTTATAAGTAGGGGCTGAGTTAGGGTAATAACAGGGTACTAGAGTACCACCCTATGGGGTTAGGATAGGCCCGATCCCCAGGGAAAAAGTTCCCACATAAATAATGAAGTATGCAAGGACTGCTGTCTAGAGCAGATCACATGACCCTGAAGCAGATGAGTGATGGAAAACTCCAGCTGAAGCTTTAATATAATATATTAACACTAAACCCCCGAAGTACAACAGAAATACTTTACCACCTTGATCTTACATTATATCTCTCTGACTCCATATAGGCAGGAGATGAGATTCACATACAGCAAACTAGAGGTAACGTCTACGAATCCTTAAGGGACAAATTTACTTAACCTAAGAGCATTTAATTATGTCAGACACTTGTTCAATGGTCAGTACCTGGATCTAATTATATGGAACTCAAAGATGTAACCAGGGACACAGACAAAATTACACTTGCTCTCTAATTATTTCTTATACAGTACTTGTGCCTTTTCCCTTTCTCCATCTTTATACATTTGTGACTGCCACATTTGCATGTGGTATTAAAATGTTTCAGATGTGAATTCTAATATGAAATGTATGAGACCAATGCTAGATAATGGCAGCTTTGTAGAAAGGAGAGTCCCGGAAGGAACAAGGTGTCTTACGATGTGAAGTGATAGTATTGTTGGTTGATATGAAATTGCAGATATTTTCTAAGTTATTTCATCTATTAATATGCATATCTTGGTTTTTTCAGTTCGAAAGTTTTTATCACAAGCATTTTAATGGTAGGAAGCTAACATGGCTACATCATCTATGCCAAGGTAAGATACTGTACACTGCATCATATGTTTGACTTCAGTATTGGTATTATAAAATAGTGTGTGTGTGTGTGTAATTACCTGAGTGTAGTTACAGGATGGGAGCTACATTTGTGGTGTCCTGTCTTCCCAGTACTTTGTCATATGATGCTCTGAAAGTACAGACGCTTTTGGCCTCCACCACTTTCTCACTTAACTTTTTCCAATCCTTTACCACTGTTTGCAAAAATGGAGTTTCCAATATTTTTAGGCAGCTTGTGTGTTTAATATTTGTATGTAGAGCATATGGGCACCCACTGACATTTTTGCAAGGAGAGGGGTTGTAAAACATGTAGATCAGCTTCACCTTAGCATTATTATAATCCTGTTACCAGATTGAATATGGTTGTTACCTCCAGATGATTGGAAAACTGAAATACTGTACCACTTAATTGGAAAAGAGATACTAGGTAAAGATAGAGCCAAGAGCATTTCAAACATTACTAAACATTATTGTATTTTTTTTAAGCATCTTGCAATAATGAACATCCTGTTTCTCCCATATTTCATGGCAATACAGTATGTGTAAATAATGACAGGACTGTAGATGAGAGCGAAGTTACGTTTCTCAATCCCACTGCTTACCTCCCACAATTCCTCACTGAAGAATTTTACTAAGAAAACATATACAGCACCTAAATTTTGCAAATGTTATTTATGATTCTTGTGTTTGTGTGATTCTTGTGTCTTGATATAAGTATTATATTTATCCCATTTTTCACTTTAAAGGGGAGATAGCTAAGATTAGTTTACTTGGCCATTTGTCTATTGGTTGGCGGTTTGTAATCAGCTGGTGGTGACAGCCACCAAAACATTATTAATTAATAACGTGTCCCAACAGGTATTTCCCTGTCCTTTTCCTTATTCCTCTTCCCTGCTTCTTCAAGTGTGTGCGAAGTGTCAGTTCCCACCTCCTTTCTTTGTTATTTGTATATTGTTCCTTCCTTTCAGTCTACTAGAGTATAGTCACATTGATTGCACAAGCTACTTTATCTTACCACACAACACAAACTACTGGTGAGTGAGCTATAGCTCTTGAGACCTGCCTCCTAGTTGTTGGTACCTGGTACAATGTTCTAAACATCCTAGTGCAATGTTGTTCTTTTGAAAATGTGGGTAGAGGTTCATTTATACAGTATTCAAAATTGTATATAATTATTTATGTTCAATTTGCTTTCCTTAACTTTTTCTTTCTTTGCTTAATAATAACTTGGACATATCACTTTATTGCTTTGATAAGCAATCTTTCATACAGTCAAGATGTGTTTTGCAAAAATAAAAAGCATAGTTTCTAAAAAAAGTAAAGCCGTGTAAGCTCAAGATAGAAAAGGTCAAGCCAAGTTCAGTCTTTTTCCTGTCAGTGGGATTTAGTCTTAATTAATTTGAATGTAATTTAGCAGGAGCTGAGAATTTTGTATTTTTATGATGCCATTTAAACTAAATAATAATATTTGTTAACTTTGCCATTGATAAATTATCTTTGTTGGTACATGAACGGTATTATTACCTATTCAACTTTTATTGTTATTTGCAGGAGAATTGAGAGTGAGTCACAGCAAAAGAACGTATCTCATCACCATGTCCACCTTCCAGATGGCAATGTTGCTCATGTATGAGAAGGTAAGGTACACCTCCCACTCTTTGATCAGGTACTTTGTGCTCTCTTTTTTTACCCTTAATAGAAGTGATGCCTGAATAAATGTGAATGCACGCAAGTCTTCTACAGACTCATAATAATGATGGTGCACCAAAAGTGTAGGTCTGAACAGAAGTAAAAACCTACGATTAGCAACCATGGATGAAGCAAAGAGTTGGAGTACAGTACAAGGATGAACTGTGGGGAGGAAAGTAGAAGTGAGTTAAATAGTTAAAAGTTGTAGAAGAAAAAGGGAAATTGGCTAAAGACTGCCAAATGCATCACAGAGAGAGAGAGAGAGAGAGTAAAGAAAGCAGATGTAACCAAAAAAATAATGGAGTGCAGGGCCAGCAAACATATTTACAGAGATGGGCAAAGGGTCAGAAGTTAGGTAGATACTGTATAATCAACATTATTAGATAAGCTGGTGGGATACAGCAGGTAATGAACTGCACTAAACAAAGAGTTGGAAAGGGAGAGATCTGGGATCATAAAGAATCTAACCGAGCCAGAGGGGGGGGGGACATACAGCATATAAAAAAAAAAGAGAGAAGCTATGAGAAACTGAAATAAATTTTTGACAAGGAATTGGCAAGTGAGGCAACCAGGGACAAAGAAGAATTTTGTAGGATAAGAAGGGATCATAATGAAGGAAAATTACCAGTGAAGGTGATAGTTCAAAAGTGCCAACAAGTCTAGTATATACTGAGAGAAAAAGGGAAACTTTGAAATGGAGGTATGATACAGTGCGGTGTTCACTGACCAGAACTTGTCTCAAGAAGAAAGGAAACAATATTAATCAGAGAGGAAAGGCGCAAAGGAAGTGCAAGGGGACCTGGAAGTGAAGCAAGACAAGGTCAAGACAAACGATCAGACCAAGCAGTGGAGCCTGTCACAACACGATAGTGGGGTAAACCATTCTTTTCACAAAAGCACATTTTCCAATATATTTGTATTTTGGACCTGTGTTCTCTTGTTTCTCTTGTGAATTTCTCTCATCAGTTTTATCAATTCCGTTCTTGATTTTGTAAGTGTTCATATCACTCCATTCTTCTGTATTAAAGTGTATATGTTTAGTGTGTCCATCTTTTCTCTGTAGCTTTTTTTTAGATCTGAGAGCTATATAGTAGCATGGCTTTGAACTTTTTATATTTTATATTTTTTTTTTTAATTTCTCCATCCATGTACTTGATGGTTATTCTGAAATTGGCAACTATGCTCTTGATACAATTCTCTAGTGACAGTTTGCTATCAAGGATCATCTCTGACTTTGCCCTTTACCTAATACTCAAGTATTTTCAAATAATTTATACACTAAATGTGGTCTTGCCTCACTTATTCTGAACTCCCATTACATGGCATTCATTCACAGTAAAATTTATTAACCATTTATTACTCCAAATGCCTATTTTGTCTTAAGTAGTCTTGAAGGGTGTTGTTTAAATAATTTATTCTTCTTAGTTCCTTTCTTTGTGAAAGCTTTGCTTATATAACACTATTCCTGCAGGCGAGTTATTTATTTATACAGTAGAGTACTCTACAGCGAACGTTATGGGATCCCATCGGTGACCTTCCTTCAATCTATTTTTGTCCTCTTAATTACTGCTCTCATCTTTCTACCCCTTGGAATTTATTTTGTTGATACTAATAGCCTTCCTGTTACTCTTGCAATGTGCTGAATTCACATAGCAAACTTGATGACTAGTGTGCAGAGGCTGCCTGAGGAGTGTGGCATTGGCACCAACACTGTTTATGAAATAGAAGAATTTAAACTAAAGATTTTAGAGTTCATTACCAGAGTTCTGGTGACAAAAAAATTGAGATACATGCTTTATCACAAATTTTTATATAAATTAGATGATAGTTATAAGGATTAATGTGGCTTCCCAAAGGTTATGCAAAAAATTTTGTATTACAGTATGCATTTTTAATTACATAGATGCTTGTATAAATATTCTTTGAAATATGCAAAAATATTTGTTCTATATTTTTTATAAGAAAAGTCCAACTAAAATTTATGAACAAACAATAAATGAGATACTTCTCCAAATCTTGAAATTTAGAAAATCTTGAAGGAATCCAGAACAATAGTTCAGATGTTAAGGTTATACTGTTGCTGTACTATAGTGCTAAGACACTTACCTTAAATATGAGTTTCAGTTGATATTTCATACACAATATGCATACCAAAAAAGTATTACAAGTGTTTATACATCATACAGTAGTGTATTTCCATTTGTAATTTTCTATGATACTGTCTTCATTCCTCACATTTTCATTTACTATGGTATTATGCAAGTTATTCAATGCCGTTACTTTTTCTTGACTCCGAAATAATGTACAAGTTTGTAAAGTACTTTCACATACATACTGGAGGACTGTGCTTTATACTGGCATCTTTTTCCCATTTGCCTTCGTTTTCAATACATTAATTTTTGTTGCTCTGCTTTCCAAATGGTAACACATTAAACATAATCCCAAATATGTTAAGTCATCAACTAAATCCAGTTTATTTGTGTTACCATTAACTTGATATTGCTAACACTTGTTTTGCACTGACAATAAGTGCAGTACCAGACAGACAGACTAGGTGTATATACTTCTTAGACCTCTGAGAAGTCTTAAGCACAGCAACAAATAATGTGGCTACTGCATCCTCTTCCTTCCACAGTTCACCACAACAGTTAGAGAATCTCAGCCTTTTTTCTTGATAGATCAAAATCTAGCCACATGTCAGCTATGTTAACACAACAACAAGGGTTTGTACTGGCAAAATTCATCCATTTATCAAAACAGTATTTTTAATACTGAAGTATTAAAACTTTTGACTAGTCATCTGATGCAAGGTACGTTAAAATACAGTTTTTATCACCAGGTGGATAGCCTTACATGCAACGAACTCCAGACACACACGCATCTCAATGAAGAGCAGTTTACTAAGTTTCTACAGTCATTGCTGGACAGCAAGCTTCTCTTGACTGATGCTGAGGTAGGTATTGTGGTAAACAAAGCTTACCTTCATTAAAGTCAATAAGTCATTTTAATTAATTTACCTGAAGCCTTTGAAAATTTGTGAACATTTGACTTACATTTTGGTTTAAATTTTAGCAGTACTATGTATATAGTATAATATTTCTTTAGTACATAATAATTTTTTAATGTATATGTGTAAAAATCTCGACTCTAGAATCTCCAAGGTGATGCAGTTGTGCGTCTGAACACCGATTACAGCAACAAGCGGACTAAATTCAAGATCAGTGTTGCACCACAAAAAGAGCAGCAACATGAAACAGAGCAGACACATTCAGCTGTTGAAGAGGATCGTAAACTATACCTTCAAGCAGCTATAGTTAGGATAATGAAAGCGCGGAAACTGCTCAAACATACTATGCTTATTCAAGAGGTTAGTCCAGTGAAGATAGACATGCATTCTTAAATATAAGTTATAGTTGTGTGTCCTATGTTTGTCTTATCAGATTTTGCAAAATGATATTTTAATGTTCATAAAAGATATTAGGTTAGTCATGTAACTGATAAGGAACATAAGCAAACTTCTTCAATCATGATCATTCCATCACCTAAATAAATTAATAAAATATGAAGATGTTTGGATGACATTGTGATGACTTTTTGAAGAATGGATTTTGTATTTGTGAAAATATGTAAATGTATTTGCAAAGTGAGCATTAAATGTTTTATATTTTATTTGGCCACATCCATTGTTTAATTATTTGTTAATTATAAATATTCTCTACCAGCTGTATAGCTGAAGTTCAACTTTAAAGCTTGTTTTTTTTTTCCCCCCCCCACAGGTCATCAGCCAGTCTCGAGCGAGGTTTGCACCACAAATCCCAATGATCAAGAAATGTATAGAACTACTAATTGACAAACAATACCTTGAACGTACCCCTAATTCTACGGACGAATATAGCTACGTTGCTTAATTCTTAGATTTGTTAGTTTTCATAATTTGTGGAAAGATCTGTGTTTGTTGGCCTTAGAGAAGAAACATAATTTTGCTATTGTTTTTTTATTTTACTCATAAATAATTTTTATTGAAGCATCCTTTAAAGGTTGACACTCACAGATGAAACTATCCTTCAAAATCTGGCTTCACTCCTTGGTGAAGCATGTACAGTGTGTTGCCTGTTTGACGGTGAATTTTGTACATTGATGTAGGTGTTGAACTTTCCTTGCCTCTACAAAAGGTTGATATTTTCAGCCTGATATGTAAATAACCCAGATAGGATGGTGTAGTTGATATGGGTTGTATGCTACTGCTTGTTCTAAAGGCTGGGCTCTGGACACGGGCCACATCCAGCATTGTCGATAGAGGGACTGCTTGGCACATACAGCAAAGGTACGATATGTTACCATTTTTCCATTATTAAGTAATGTGTGAAATATAGATGCAGCTAGTCCCTTGCTCAGACTTGGCTAGGCTAAAACATTGTACTGTATAAAGTTTTAAGTCTTTCATGTTATGCCCAGTGTTTGGAGCTTACGAAGAGGAATTGTACTTCAGATCAACTTACATGAAGGCAAACATTTTGTGCCTTTTTTTTATGCCCTGTGTTTGATGGTGTCCCACTATGTGGGATTGCCCAAGCAGAATCTCCTTAATGCTCTTTTTCTCGTGCTATAAATACTGCCTACATATACTCAATGATTCACACTATCAAAGTGTAAAGGGTTCTTGTATACCTTGAGCCTTTTCAGTCATGATGCATACCAGTTACAACTACATCGTCGATGGCAGTGACTTGTAACTCTCAAATTTGGCAGCCATAGTTGACATGTTTAGAGCAGCATATCTAATTTTAAGCCTAACATTCATAGCTTCGCTCTCTTGCCATTGTCATTAAACCACAAAACACCTTCGTGTTTCAAATTGCTGAAAGGGAAATTTGCATTTATTTTATTTTTTTTTTAAATTCATGACCAGAGCATTTGTAGTCAGTTTTCCCTGTGGCTCACCAAATAAATAAATTCTTGTAAGAGTTCTAGTTAGTTTTTCAATGAGCACAGCCTATTTTAATTTTTGGAATTACTGTATTTGACCCTTTCCAATCTCCAGAACAACTCTGCTGCAAAGGAAGGTTATTCCCTATAGTATAGATCATATACTTGAGCCCGTGGACATCAAGTTGTAGTTTTGTAATTAAATTTTATTTCCTTGGTATTTGTCAGTATTTAGTTCGATTGATTTCCAATGAGGCTTGTATGCTTCTTCTTGCCTACCTGGAACTTTCCTCATTATGCTGATACTTTTATCGTCTGCCAATGGTATACAGAAGGTAAAATTTAAATGAATTATTGAATAAAGGTAACTTAAAAATATTTGGGTATTCTTGAGGATGTAGGAGAATAGTCATGCGAGATGTTTTAGCGTGGTGCTAGTATCTACACGACATCCTAGTGTATAGTACAGGATAAGACTTTCAAAAGAGTTTGCCTATACAGTACAGTATATATATTTGTGGTTCTTGACATCATATTTTTGTAATTCTGAAATATCATTCAATGTTTTGGTCAGTTTCTCATGACTTTGAATTTGTTGTATTCAATTAATTTATAATTGGCAGATCAGGTTTAAAGGTTTCATTGTCAAGGCTGTCATTGTTAGAATGCTATACAGTAATGATTTTTTGTGGAAATTGTGTATGTTTTTGTACGTGATACTCATTGACATTCTTATGTTGTGGATTATAAATTAAAAAATGCCCGGGTTGGTTACTAATTAATCATCCATTTGACTGTTTAATCTGTAGTTATATTTTGAAAACAGTGGAACATAAAACTTTTTACTACAGTTGGTTTAAAAATGTTTTAATTATGAACTGAGGAAACTGGTCTAGCCTTGTTTCTATCTTTACTGAAGAACATCACACATTGTAGTTTTCTTTCCTCTAAATGATCTTTGGGACATCTTACGATTAGTAGTCTGCAGAGTGCTTTGTGACGAGGTGAATAGCCAGATTAACGTGTGGAACTTAAATCATTGAGCTAGTGTAAAGTGCATAATGTTTTATGGTTTTAGTTGTGTGGGCCAAAGAATTTGTGCATCATGAACATTTAAAGTAAGTGATGAGGTGGAAGGGTGTGTCAGTTAGATAACCCCAAATAATGACTTGCCTCTTTGTGTTTTAAGTAGGATTTGGAACGTAGATCTTATCTAATTTTTGTATTTAAGATATAACTGTAAATATAACTTATATATGAAATTGTTTATAAATTATAAATAACAAAACACTTGAACTTTATAAAAAGTTATTAAGTCTTTCATTCTATGTAACATTACTTGGTGATGGTAATGTCGTACAAGAACTTTGCTAAATATAACTACCTCTTCTCATACTTGGTCAGTTTTGGACATGTTGATTCACATCATGGATTCTATAAAGACAATGAAAATGATTTCAGTATTAATATTTTTTATTTTCATTATACTAAACTTAAACCTCTTGTTGTTCATTTTATAATGTGTTGCAATGAATTGGCTTGTGTAATGTGAAAGAAGAATCAGATTACAATGTACAGTATTTGAGCGCAATAGTTAATTTTTCAGTTTTGCAAAAAAAAAAAAGTTTAGCACAAATATAGAATAACAAGCCATTTCTCCTTAGAGTGGAAGGCCTAGTGGATAGTGACTGGAATGGAAGGCCTAGTGGATAGTGACTGTGAGCCAGTTATAAGAGCATGGTAATGTGGTGGTATTGTTGTAAGAAAGTCTTAAGGTGCCTAATATTTGCTGTCCTGTGATGAATGGAGAGCATAGAACTAAAAGTGGGTTTTAATTTGATTAACAAATTAAGGTAAAGTAAATCTATATATGATACAAAAGCAGGATAATGTTCAATGATATTTTGAATATGGAAATTGTTGAAGATCAATACAAGACAGTAAAGCATTTGCTAGATGTAAAAATGAAGGCAAATTGAAAAGTACAAAACTATTTGTACCAATAATTCAGTCTTTTTATTTAGTATTTTATCTAAATGACTTGAAACTAAGCAAATGTGCAAGAGCAACATTTTGAGTTTTGGGCAGGTGTTGCATAGGGGGACAGTACAAGCTGTTAATAGTCGATTACTTTTTGACTAAAGACCTTAGGTTAAGCTTGCTCTGGTGCTTACAGTGACAATGAATGTGATGGTTTTAAGACAGAAAATAACTAATTCATGTGATAAAGCACTTTATTATATTTTAAAAATGAAAGATGACAAGACCTACTCTTGAATGTCGGCTTGGTGCCTTCTTTGATACTTACTCTTGAATGTAGGATGATAAAAATGAGGTGATTTAGCAGCAGAGTTCAAGAAATTTAACAGTGTAACTGATAAAGCACCAGCCATTTTTTAATAAACAATTAGGAGTGTGGTCATAATAATAATGTATGTTTATTTTTTGCCTTGCAGGGGGTGTTTGCTCCAACATCTTTTCCACACGTACGTGTGAATATGTTGCCAAGCACAAGTCACAGAGAACATGAAACAAACTAATGTAAAAAAAAGGAGACATTTAAATAACCAATTTTTTCTTGATGGGATACACAGGCGGCCTAATGATGTGCACAAGGGTTACGACCCTGTAAACAAATCAAACTTTAAAGCACAGCATATGGAAAAAAAACAGGATTAGGCTCCAGAGACCTATGGTGCAGTGATGTATAAATGTGTGCAATCCAATAGGTTTGTTAAAACACGAGATAGTAGTGTTTGAGACTTTACACCCTACAGGAACGTGAGACCAGTGGATTAGTGCATATTCTTTGGACTAATCCTGCATAACAATAAAATTCACAGGGGCACTTTCAAACTTGGTATAGAAGTGCATATTCACAAAACTTCAAATCTGCATAATCTGATATCGTGTAAAACCGAGGCTGGCTGTACAATCATATCCTATTGTTTTACTACTTGTATCTCTTAGTGATTCAATACAAAATTTAAAAAAACATAAGTTCTTTTAATACAGTACATAGTAAGTAGAAATGGAAAAGCTGAGAAGCATATGTGGGTGTTTGTAAAACAGTAGATAATGAACATGTAAAGAGATGTGAGTGCAATAATCAATAACTAAAATATTGAGGAGAGCAGAGATGTTTTGGGCATGTTGAACAAATCAATGATTAATGCGAGGCACTCATTTTTAGTGGTCAGGTACTTCAGTGAATGACTGCTGGAGTGTGGTGGTACTTTTCTATCCAGGATGTCTTACTTTATACTGAATGATACATACAGTATATAAATCATCCATTCATTATATTTTTTTATATATCATTTTTTTTCTCTTGGCTGATGAACCCTTACAAACTCATTAGTGAAAATTTATTGAACATCAACTAAACCAACATGGGGGTGCAAGAGCCTGTAGTAACCGTCCATGATTATTTGTATTTTTCCACATTCAAAATATTTATAATTTCTTCAATTTGTTACAACAACAATCTAAACAGGTTATTACCTTTGAATTCCTCTACAGTTCTAAAGGGTAACAATGGGGGGAAAAAAGCATCAATGGAAATACCGCTTTTATTAAACAAAAAGGGAAATACAGCTTTTATTAAAAAAGAACTTGCATTATATTTACTGTAATTGTAAAGTTTACTTCTCCTTATAAATAGAAGAATAAAATTCCTCTTCTAGTTCATAAAGATCTGATGCCATGTCATCCCGTAATGCCATCAGCTTCTGGTCTGCTTCTTGACTCTTTGTTTTGAAAATTTGTGAATTTTGTGTAATAGCTTCATTGACGGAAGGAAAGTCATTAAGTATAAGGTATTGTTTAACATCAGCAACTAACTTCATTAGTGACTCTGCAGCTCTCACCTGAAAAAAAAAAACATTACTGTATATAATTTATACTATATACTTTGTATATCAAGCATTGAATGTAAAGAAACACCCTTTCCTGGGCAGCCTCAGCAGCCTCCCAGAGCATTGGTTCCAACAACAGACACATCCATACAACTTCCAGACTTCTGGACTACTACTGAATGCTAGGACCAACATCTGGTGTGCCCAAACAAATAAAGCAATCATTGCAATCCAAGATCAACCTCAAAACAAACTAAAAACCACATAAAAAGTATATGTGAAGCAACATACTGTACCACACATCTTGATTATAGAGCTTTCCCATTTCCTGCTTTGTTCTCAGTGGCGAGATAGCTCATGGAGATACCAAGCAGAGGCCCTTCCAGAAAAATCTGCATTTAAAATACTGAAATGCTTCTTAATGGCGAGTCTCTCCCTTCCCCTGGCCCCTCTTCCCATAAGCATATATGGAAGACATGCTTGGCTGTCATCTAGTGGCAAGCATGTGCTATAAACCAGTACTTTGGCCCAACTTAATCATTTTTACAGTTAGTACCAGTGTTGCAAACATGATCCATGTAGTTGTCTGCTGTGCACTACCTTTCTGGTGGTCTTTTCTCTTGCTGTGATAGCCCTAGATCCCGAGGCTATGTTATGGTCCCCTGTAGGTGCTCATGAATCATTAGAGCCTGGTGTGGTGCTGAAGGTTTGGTAGATACTGTATACCAGTATGGAGTTTGGGATATACTGAGGGAACAATCTAGAGTGTGTTCTTAATACATTCACCATTAATCAGTCAAGCACCCGTAATGGTAAGTGAAATTTGAGGAAAAATATATTTACAAAAGAACTATCACTGATTTTTTAAACTAACTTAATATACTTAACCCCAGACTGCACCTGAGATTTTTCTGCCTACCTTTAGATGCAGAAAAACACCACACACGGTGAGGAGCTTGTGGCTTATGGGCAGGCGATGAGTGATTGGGAGGAAGCCAGACAGTATTTGTAAATATTCATTAATTTATTTTTTCCAAATGATGCATATAGATGTATCGAGTGTCCATGAGAACCATTTGTAGCTAATACATAGTCAAACTAACAAAGTTTCCTATTTATAATACAGTATAGTTGAAATTAGGATAAATCATCCTTATAACTCAACTTATTTCAAATGCTATACAATATACTGTATCCTTATATGCCCCAGGTGATTTAGCTTCAGCAATCGTTGCCTTGCCAGACATCTTGTAATAAAAAATTGTGCCTCATAAATTTGGCAAACAACCTACTGTAGTATTAATTAACAAAATACTGGTTTACTTGCTGCACTGTCAATGGCATAGCTCTTGAAATAATTAACAGACTAAACACTTTTGTTTAATTTAGAATTAATTGCCTCACACTGTACTGTAAGGCATGTGACACCAATTCTAGTAGTACTCAATCTGTATACCCAGTGACGCTAACATTTTCCGTTAATGCAATGAACATCCTTGTTTTGTTGAAGTCACAAATTTTAGATTTATATTAATCACATCTTATATCTGTCTTCAGTTCAATTATAATGTGCCTTCTTTTCACCTTTCACATGCCAGTGCCGTTGCTGTTGCTGGCTCCCTCTGTAACTGATTATTAATGTTGTGTAGTAATAAACAGTGAAGGAAATGCTACAACACTTTCTCACCAAGGGAGCACACAAAACATAACATGCAGGCGGACCAAAGCAACAGACAGCACCTGGTAAGCAAGCAGATGCAAGCCATTGTGCACTTGACACTGACATAATGAATTTTTGTAAAACATCCAATGGATTACCAGTTTTATAATGCTGATAAGAAATATCTTAACCACTCCAGAGTTCAAGAATGCTATTAAGTCTGAAGAACACTGAAACTGGTTTTAAATTGCAGTATGAGAGGAAAGATGCCACCAGTTGTAGATATAATACTGTACTGAACACTGTACAATATTGTGTATATCACTGATACATCATTGTGTATATCATTGTGTACATTTATGATAAAAATATGTTCACCTACCATATTAGCAGATCGTACTTGTATCTGAAAATTGATCTCATCCACCTGAGTCATCCTGCCCACCTGACTCTCCTCTTCCACTACACCCAACTTTACAATTTCTGTGGAAAATAAACTTTATATTAATTAATTAAAGAAAATTAAATGGGACATTTAAGTATGAAAACAGCTTTTGTACAGTACTATAATTCTGGCATTGTGTTGCATAGTAACAAGAGCAGAGTAGAACAGAATTCTTACATAACAATTGGGTATGCAGTGGCAGATACCAACTCTTATAAAGCCATAATGCTTACAGTATAAGGAATAATGATAAAATAGCAATCTAATATGTTCAATTCTCATTTTCTAAGCTCCATTACATTCAGTTCCCATTTTCCAGGCATACTGAACATTACAGAAATTTTGCATCAATTTTTTAGTGTCTACTTAGCAATCTGTTACATCCCACTAAAACTGTCTAGAATACTGAAAAAATTGATCCAGTAGATGTGTTGCTAGATCAGTCAGGTTGAGCACTGCTGAGTCTGGTCACTACCTAGATGAGTGACATGCATAACCTCATTCTTGGCTAGCGAACCACGATAAGTTTAACAGGCTTCCTGTCCTTGATAACAGTCTATACATACTGCACTGAGATCACACAGGTACTGTATGTCTGTTTACATGCTGCCCTGGGCATCAGCAGACACATCTGTACTGTAGTATACTGAGTTCATGGGATCTGTTCTGAATGAAGAGCAACATTGATTTTGGTGAACAAATCCATAAGGGTCTTGAGGGGTTTTCAACCCTCATCAAGGCCCTTGTGGATTTGTTCATTTGATATACAGTATCATGCTATTGTGATTTGTGTGTGTATTGGTTATGGTATTTTTAATGCAGCACAGCTTACCAGATGGTGTTCAAAAATCAATAAATGTTATGGGAAAACTATAACAAATATTTGAACCATCAATAGTACAGTACTGTACTAGTCATTCAGAACAGACATTGTGAGCTGACCTAAATTTACCAGAGGGTTACCATCTCTCTAGTGGCCTCAACAAGAACAGAAAACTGGCAGCTTGTCAAAAGTTCCTCCATTTTTCCTAATGATTTTGTTCAGCTGAATTTTGAACTGAAGCAATGTTTTGGCATTTACAGCATCAAGGGGTTTGTGGTTCCATGGGTTTATAACCCTAAGAGTTAAAAAGCACCTTCTGTTTTTGGTCCAACATTGTGGTTTGTTGAGCTTGAAGCCATTGTGTCTTGTATGTACTGTATTACATGTGACATTTTGAAGTGGTTTGGATCAATAGCCTCCAAACTGTTCAGTATTTTGAAGGTTTCAATGAGATCAGCCCTGCTGTGTCTAGTTTGCATTGATAGTTCTGTGGCCCTCAACCATTCCTGGTACAAATCAATTTAGTTCTAGGATAATTTTTGTCCCCCCAGTGATGAACTTTCTCCAAAGCAATTATGTCCTCCTGACGTTGTCGTCTCCATGCTTGGATATTATAGTCCAAGTGGGGGTGCACCAGAGATTTATTTGACTACTCCTATGGTTTAATTGGCTTTTTTGTTTTACTACAGCTCCCACTTGTGACCTTCAATGAATGGTGGATTCTGACTCGAAGGTCCTTTTCTTCATCCATGTGCTGCAAGGTAATGTTGTTGAGTTGATAATTGTGTATACCCCACATGCAAAGTTTGCATTTTTTAATTATAAAAAGTATTTGTCAGTCTTCCAACCATTTGTGGAGTTCATGTGGATCTTTTCGTAAAGCCCCAATACTGCATAATTTTTTACTTCTTACTTTATCATTATATTTTAGTGTCATCTGCAAATTTGATATGGTGGCAGCCTCTGCCAACACCTAGGGGTCCGTCTAATTACCACAAGCTACCACAAGCTACACAAGCTTCAGAAAGCTTCCTGGCAATACATTAGTAATGAATAAATATGATATGTTAAGTTAGGCTGACCTGACCTAACCTAACCTAACCTAGCCTAACCTAACCTAACCTAACCTAACCTATCCTAACCTATCCTAACCTAACCTAACTTAACTTAACTAAACCAAACCTAACCAAACCTAACCTAACCTAACCGAAGCTTGGATCGTCGACTTAATTTGGCGTCACCAGCTTTTTATTTTCGTCTAATTTCTTTATAAAAAGATACTTTTTCAGATTAAAATTATGTTTTTTCGTGTTGTACATTCAGCACCAACATTATAATGAGTAAATATATCATATTTATTCATTACTAACGTATTGCTAGGAAGCTTTCTGAAGCTTGTGTAGCTTGTGGTAATTAGACGGACCGACACCTAGTACCAAATGTAAAAATAAAACACATGACAGTGTTATGTCCAGTGCAAGGGGCCTATATTGCATCAGCCAATAATTAACATCTTGATATCTTCATCTAATGTGTAAACAATTACCATTTTTTCTAGGACATTTCACCTTTGAACTTCACAAAATGTATATGAAAGAGGAGAGCAGCTCTAAAAGTTATGTATGATATAACATAATTTTGCATTATTTGAACTTACCCATAAAATTATCAAGGATTGACTTGACATCATCCTTGAGCCTTTTATTGTACGACTTGAGCAGTGCTTCCCGGCCTTGTGGTTGCTTGCCTTGTTGGGCCATTATAAACTTGATCTCTCACTGCAACATTAAACAAAAATTAAACAAAATTGCAGCTACTGTATATATATTATATATATTTGCTCTTAATAGATGTTTCCTATTCTCTATATTACATCCAGTAGTGTACTGATCTCCAATTAATAAATTTATTTTTATTTTCTTTCAATAACTTCACACAAAAAATTTAATAGAGTAAAAGCTAAGCAGATGCCACAAAATTTTTCCTTTAATTTACAAATGGTTTTCCCATAGTTTCCCAGCCGGGGACAGGAAATCTGTTGGGCTCAATGAAGCCCACCAAGGATTCAATCCACAACAGTTACCTAAGTCCCATATACCTAATTACTTGATAAACAGGGCATCAGGGGAAAGGGAAATGTTGCTCAAATGCTTCTGTGATAGGGTAAAGTCCAAGGTTCTGTTCCTGAAATTGTTGGGGGTTGAGACTACACTACATGTAATTTTATCTAACACTGTAGGCACTAGAATATTGTTTGCTGCAGGTGGCTGACAACTGGATACGTTACCCAAGGTAAATCACCGTCTATCATAGTGATAGACAGTGACCCTCAGGTAAATAAAGTAATTACTTGTGCTGTTATTGTAAAGTTTTCAAATTACTTGTTTATTTATTATCATTATATACTGTACTGTATTTAGAATTATTATTTGATACATAAAGTGTATCTAAACTTTCCTCCTATCTTTATTTACTGAAGATCACACAACCACTTTAAAAATGGTTTATAATAAATGGAAATTAAGTACAAGTGAGAGGAAATTTGGAGCATTGCAAGATATTATGTAAATACTGTAGTGTTGTTGGCCAATAATTAGTTGATTACAATAACATTTCAAAGACATCTCGCCTAAAATTGTCTACCTTACATTAGCTATAAATATTAGGTTGATTATGCTGCATTTTCCATGCCACAAGAAATAAATCGGCCATTGCTTTCATATCCTGCACATGAAAATACAGTACTGTACTATATTACCTACAACTTCTCCGAACATTATAAGCATATTTAGATATACATACAGTACTGTATATACAATGAGATTCAGGAATGATGGCACTCCTAGGATTGGATGCACCCAGAGAACAGTACGAGACTCAGTTAGGTTAATTAGGTAAGGCAGTGATACCTCGTGTCACAAAACTAATGGCCATTGATACTGTGCAACGAACCTAACATTGATCTTTAAATTTTCCAATTTTGACATGATACATTTCTGGGCAAAATGTCTAATCTCTACATGGAAAATGTAAAGTAATAGCTTAACATCCCAAAATTCCAAAGTTGTTTTTTGGTGGAGGGGGGGGGGGAGGTTGGAGATTTAGGTGTTAGGCTTGGTTATAGAACCAATTAGGTTTTCCAGCACGATTTGCCAATTGTTGTACAGGTATATTTAAATCTATTACAGCCAGGTGCACTGAAGTAGTACAAGAATAGTACCCAATAAGTAAGCCCTTTTTTGTATACTTATATACAAGAGTTCTTACATTTTTGTAGTCACTAGCACACAGCATTTCGAGCAGGTCCTTAATACTAATTTTTCTCCCTGAATATGACCAGCCAAATCGTTTAACAACCATTTACTGCTGGGTGAACAGAGGTTACAGTTAAGGATTGGTGCCCAGCCAATCATCCCCAACAAGGTTACGAACCCAGGCCAAAGCTCCCGCAAAGCGCCGAGCGAGTGTTTTATCACTACGCATGGGAACTGCTTAACTAACTGCAAATTATTTTATTTATTTTATTTATTTATGCATATACAAAAAGGTACATTGGGAATGTGAGGATACATAAAATGGTAATTACAGGCTTGTAAAGCCACTAGTACGCGCAGCGTTTCGGGCAGAAACGTTTAATTACTTAAGGGTTTAATTACTTAAACCCTTAACTAAGTTTAAGTTCGGCTAGGTTCTCACTTACAACAAATCATGAAAAGAATGCAAGCACAAAATCAGAGTTTCATGTACACATGACAGTGTTTCCAAAATCAAATAAAAATGTTAATAATGTGCATATGTAAATATATAATGCAAAGCACCGCAATGTCTCGAGACGTATGATTGTTAGTAACCAACAGTAACACAGTGACGACAGTTGAGAGGCGGGCCCAAAGAACCAGAGCTAAACCCCCGCAAGCACAACCAGGCGAGTACAATCGCACACACACCAACACACTCCACATCATATGGACACACTCCCACAGTGCCGGAATTGCTAGGTTCACCAGTAACAGCAGCAGCCAGGAATAACAATTCCAATCAGGAGCCGCACCAGCGGACGTTGTTGACGTTGTATATAACTGTTGTTATAGTGTATAGCACTCTAGCTATAGCCCGAAATGCTACTCGTTCTAGTGACTGTACAAGAATGTAACAACTCTTGTATATATAAATATAAATAAAAAGTATGAACCTCTCCCACCCTCCACTGGACTTTCTCACCTGGATTCTCTTCACCTGTTTACAAGCTTCTTGTTGACATGGTGTCGAGTCCCTGAGGGTGTAGTCCCTGAGGCTGTAGTCCCCGAGGCTGTAGAGTCCCTGAGACTGTAGAGTCCCTGAGTGTGTAGTCCCTGAGGGTGTAGAGACCCTGAAGGTGTAGAGTCCCTGAGGCTGTAGTCCCTGAGGATGTAGTCCCTGAGGGTGTAGAGTTCCTGAGGGTGTAGAGACCCTGAGGGTGAAGAGTTCCTGGGGGTGTAGAGTCCCTGAGGGTGTAGAGTGGAGGCGAGGGCAGGGAGTGCAGGAGTGGTCAGCACCACCCCAGGGAGGTCACACGGGGGCAACACCCGAGGTGTCTCAGTGCGGGAGACTCGTGTCTAATCTCACACAGTATTCTTCAAGACAGGTGCCAGTGAGAGCAGTAACACTCGTACCGTACACACCGTGTCCTGGGGTGGCTGCCCGCGGTCTCCGGTTAAATCAAATCTTTCCTGTGACTGAACTGATGGAGCCTGTTACCGGGACTTGCCTTGGGTCGTGCATAGAGTAGATATATATTCATCTATTGATAAATTGATACCCGTGAGATGTGCAAGTGTTGTGGGGTTGCAGCCTGGGCAAGGTCAGTATGTTTGACAAACACAGGCTTCGTGTCCTCGACGAAACGAATTAATCCAGAAATGACGTACAAGGATAGCTCATCAAAATTGTAACTTGCTTAGCTAAATGAATTGTGGGGTTCAGTCTCTAAGCCCATTATGTGCCTCTGTAACCGTTTCTATTACCGCCCACTAGATGGGTATGGGGTGCATAATAAATGAACCAAACTAAAGGCTAATTTCATCGATTTCTAGAATACAGAACAAATTGGCAGATATTAATCCAGAGAACTTCTTTAAAAGGTCAAATGTAACACATAAAAGGGACAACTTCAACAAGCCACAGTGTGCAGTAATAAGAGATGCTTATTCACTCATAGGTTTATAAACCTCATGCATGGATCAGCTCACCTGTCACCAAAGCCGCAGAGGCAGACACTGCCGTTCAAAATCTAGCTGGAAGAAAATCCTCAGGGAAAAATGTGTCGGGGAGGAGAGGCGTGGACCATTGACAAGTCGCTGACTTCCTGTCCCCATCAAGTCCATTTTTTTTAATAGATGGTGACCCTCAGGTAAATAAAGTAATTCTTTGTTCTGTTATTGTGAAGTATTAAACTTACTCGTTTATTTATTATTATTCTAATATATTTAGAATTATTACTTGATATATAAAGTGTATCTAAACTTTCCTTCTATCTTTATTTACTGAAGATCACACAACCACTTTAAAAAATCGTTTATAATAAATGGAAATTAGGTACAAGTGAGAGGAAATTTGGAGCATTGCAAGATATTATATATGGTTTATAGAGGCGTGGGTGATGGGGGGGACGGGACAGGACGCAGCGTGTCAACAACAACACGCTGCTGCTGGTGCTGGGGCCTGTGGAGGCCTCCTGCTGCCCTCCACCTCGCCTGCAGGTGATTCATTACTTCTTATACTCACCCCCCAATAGTTACAGTGAGGAGGGAGTTGAGTGCATCTTCATCTGACATGTTTTGCGAGTCTTTAATGGGAAAGAAATGACAGGCGTGGCTTTCTTGACTGGGGTGGGGATAATGTCAGAGCGTCAGGTGGAATCCTTTATCTTGCAGGAAGGGGACGGGCGTGTGGCACCCACAAGCTCCACACTGCCATACTTTACTCCATACGGAAGATGTGGGGGGGTAGAAATAGCCTAAGCTACTCTATCCCTTTGAGATGTATTTCTTGTCTCAATAAACATACTTGAACTCCATACGGCTGGAGCAGCATATATTTTCATTTGGAATAAAGTGTGAACAAAGCCTCTTCAAGGTAAGCAGAAGTGTTATTATTATGGCTTAGCATAGACCAATAAACCTTCTGTAGTGTCTTTTTTTTTCCTTATGCTCTGTCCACATGAGCACATGGGTTTGTCCTGGGCTGGGTAGGGTAATTGGACACCATTCATGTACACTATACGCATGTACCGGAGCAGGATGGCCAGACGTCTTGCTTTTGAGCACTCTGTCCTCCATAGGGAAGCACGTGACAACAATTAGAGACCTAGTTACATGATGGTTGGCAGATCATGCCATGAAGAAAACTTTGACATCCATTTATGGGACTGTATTTTCATTTTTTTTTTTTAGTGACATTAGCTAGCATATATCAAGGATATCTTCCACAGTTGTCATTATGCTGTCAAACATTATCTCATTTCCAGTAAGATATTTTTCGTTACAGTACTGGTGTAAATTACAAATTATAATTATTTGATAGTGGGACAGTTTTTAAATTTTTAGTCGACTGATATTGAGTAGCAAATGAAAAAACACCAGTAGATAGGATAAATTAATAACGTAATGAAGTTGGTTAAAATATATTTAAAATTTGGTAGAGTAACTGACATTTGGATAAGAATTTGCAATAAATTGTCAAAGAAATTGAATAAATGTATCAGATTGAAATAGTTATTTTTCTTATAATACTGAACCTTAATATAAACTATGGCTTAATAAATCTAGTTTAAAATTTAAGATAATTTGTGTAAGTTCTATCAGGTTGAAACTTTGTATTAAAGTGAATTAGATAAAAAAAAAAGTAAACTGTAAATCCCATTGATAAATTTAGCACTAAGGATCTGTTCTTAGGAAGATATACCAGTGAACAATGATAAAAAGTCATAGATTTTGTAAACTACTGTATATATATATTAGTGATGGATTGATGATCAGTCTACACAATTGGTTTGCATCTGGTGCTGTTAAACAAGTTAACCTGAAAATTTATTATGTAATGAAATTTGACTAATTTGCATAACTAACAAATTTAATGCCATAAGGTTATCCCTCAGTCATCTTTATTATATTTCATTATTTAAAACATGTAGAATTTTGTTATATTTGTGAGGTTTGAATGATAATTAGTAAGGATATATTTTAACCACCCTTTGAAGATACCGATTCATTGCTCAATTAATTTTTCCACAGACCTATCAAATTTTGAAACGGTGCACAATTACTTTGCCACGAGTTAAGAAGAGAATTCAAGGCTTATCTCACTCAGCGCTTAGATATGCAGTATGCTGATATGCAAAAGTTGAAATCTGGAAAGTGGCAGGTGGTCTTTCACATGAGATTCCTGAAATCGAAAGAAAACTATACAATTTTTTAAAACACCATAAAAATGGATGTGCCAGTAGAAGAGAAAGAGAAAAACAAAATTAAAACTTTTGTTTTTCTAGATATTGAAGCTACTGGTTTACCTGGAGATGATCCCAGAATTTTAGAACTTTCTATGATGGCTGTATCTAGAGAGGACCTCCTTTGTATGAATACTAGCAAGAGTAGTCCCACATCTTCCAATTCTACTGATAAACAGCAAAGAAATGTTGTTCCACAATTGCCTCGTGTCCTGCACAAGTACACAAGACTGTTTTACCCACGAAAATTGATTACACCTAAGGTGGAAGAAATAACTGGACTTAGCAATGCTCTTCTTTATCGTTTGCCGGGCTTTAGCCAGATGAGTGCAGAGGCAATTAGTCTGTTTTTGGAATTGCCTAAACCTCTGGCAATTGTAGCACATAATGGTGACAGGTTTGACTTTCCTATACTTAAAGCAGAACTGAACAATGTGGGTTCTATGGAAAAGTTTGCTGATCTACAATGTGTAGACACTTTGAATGCAATAAAAGACATTGATGCTCTTCAACAAAAAGATATTGAAATATTGGAAATATTGGAAATAACTGAAACTGCCAAATCATTTAACTTTAAAGATATGGATGAGGAAGTGAGTAAAGAACTTCCAGTTAAAAAAAGAGCCCGTCCAGTAGAATTAGAGGAGAAAGTAAACAATGCATCTTCTGCTTCATTTATAAATGAGCCATCTTCCCAGGCTCAGGAAGGTAACCCACGCACATTAGAAGTCTCGCCGGAACTCTACATGACGCCAGTGAAAGATCACATTCCAGCATTTGTGAACAATACACCTTCAACTCCAGCCAAGCTTACACAACCTCCCTCACCCTCAGTTACCCCCATATCTTCCAAGGCATATACTCCAGGGACACCAGGCTTTAGTCCTCAAACCCTCAGAGAAACTAGTAGAGTTCGTCGAAATTTAACATACGAAGGAAGTGGCAAGAGAAGGTGGGATGGAACAACACCATATGCACAAAGCAACATCTACAAAAGACTCTTTAATGCTCAATATTTAGCACACAAAGCAGAATCAGATTGTCAGGCCTTGCTAGAAATTTGTGGACATTATGGAGATAAATTTGTAAATTGGGCAGACATGCATGCAGAAAATTTTGATGATGTTAAGCCAATGTGGTCAAAAAGAAAGGCTTTCAAACTTAGCTGATTCTTTATATGTAAAGCTGTAATTTTATTATAATTTAACTTGTTAATGTATTGTTAGCATATCACTATTGTTTGCCATAAATAATTGTCTATTGGTAATTATTTTAAGATTTTATCAGTAAAATTTTGATGAAAATACATAATTGGCTATACCTGTACATACATATATACTTGTTGGTTAGTTTAACATTTAAATATTTTAAACCACATTTTAAAATTACACATTTTAATCTTACACATTTTTTATTCTATAGTAATGTTTTTTTTATCGAACTTATACTGTAAAATACAGTACTGTATTGTTATAAGTGTATTCAATCTGACAATCCAAGGACCTCTTAAGTGTCAAATCCTTAAACAGTACTGACAAAAATCAGTGCTAGCAATGTTTTAATAACTAATTATGAGTAGGAATCATTGTATGACACAGTTTTAGTTTGATGATTATACCCTTGTTGCCAGACAGTTTTAAGTATAATAAACCATCATGACATCAGTACTCATAACAGGTGGAAGTACAAAGAAAGGATTTATATTATATATAAGCATAAGCTTTATATTGTATATATTTTATTTGTAGTTATATACACAAGAGTTCTTACATACTTGTAAAGCCATTAGCATGCATGAGATTTTGGGCATGTATGATATGGACATAAATGAAGGATATATTATATAAAGTTGAAGTTTAACAAATTGATACAAGTCATAACATTATATAGTCATACTAGTTTAGAGTTCTCAATATTTATCTCAAATCAAAGTACAGTACTGTATTAGTGGGCCAGTGTAAGATTACATGTGCAGTCACACAAATGAAAAGATGAAACATTGGATATCAAAAGTTAGTGTTGAAAATCTTCAGCTAGAAACTGTAGGTCAGTAAGAGGTAAATGAATACGAGAGAGAGAGAGAGAGAGCACTGGAAACTTGGTGTTCAGGTCCTCGGTACCCAGCTTGTGGTGGCTATTTGACATGAAACAACTGTGGTTTTCAATGGGTATGTTAAAATTTATGTAATGCCTTTGTTTGGTTAGTTTGCGGGAGACCTGGTCGAGGAACGGACCACAGGGACGTTGAGCCCTGAAATCATCGTAAGGTAAGGAGGGGTAATGTCATTGAGAATAAATATGATCCTAACTACATAATCAAAAATTTGTTGGTTCAGTTAAAGAACACCAATAGAGTACTGTATTTATGCATATTTTAATTACTTTTAAAAATTGGCCAATTTTAATGGATTTTTAAAATGCTAGCTATTTTAGAATTATTGTTATACTGCAATTAATTGTTTAATTTACAGTATGAATTTGTTATATTGTACCTGTATTATCTAGTGCTTAACTTGAACAATGCTGTTTAGTCTCTGGAATATACACAAGATCTGTTAGTTGTCAAGAAGTGACAATGTTAAAGTAAATTATCAATTACATTATTTTGTAAAAAAAATATATATATAAAAATACACATTACTGTACTAATTCAATATGGTGATACAGTACAGTAAATGCATAAAAAAAGTGTAAAAATGATATAGTTCACTATATAAAGCAAGTACAAGCCTGAATTCTTTACAGTAAGTATTAGATGTAGATGTTTTTAACTGTTCAGTGTTCAGAATAAGTACGGTAATTATAAAAAAAAAACTCCGAAGACTATTTAGCACCGGCTGTGTCACATAACATTAACAGATTCTACAATATTATTGAGGACGCCAATACCAGAACAAAAAGACAGACAATGTCAAAGATATCAAATTCACCAAGGATTTTGTCAAGGGACAACATTGGGAAAGCAAAATTTCCAGTTGTTCTGGAAATTGGGACATTTCTAGGAGAAAGTGAAATTCTCAGTGTTAGTAATTGTGTATTGGTACTGTTATTTCTTAAGATGCATTATATTATTGTAAATTTAAATATATTGTATAAATTTTAGATATATAAAATTAAATAAATGCTGGTTATTTATTTTTCATCTCGATATATACTCAGTAATGGAAACCACTTATGTAGAAATTTGGTGTAATTATAACTCCATATTTAGAACAATATCTATGGTGAATAGGTGTATTCACCTAGTTGTGCTTGCAGAGGTTGAGCTCTGCTCTTTCGACCCGCCTCTCAACTGTCAATCAACTATTACTAACTACTAACTTTTTTTTTTTCCCCCTCCACACGTGCTCCCCCCAGGAAGCAGCCTGTAGCAGCTGTCTAACTCCCAGGTACCTATTTACTGCTAGGTAACAGGAGCATCGGGGTTAAGAAAACTGCCCATCTGTCTCCACCGGGTGCAGGGATCAAACCCCGGTCCCTAGGTCCACTCGGCCATACAGCCCTGTGTGTAATAGTACTGTACTAATTTTGATGGTACTGTAGGTAATATTGCTCTCCATATTTTTGTCCCTCACTAGTAGAAAGGGATAACAGGTATACAGTAACAGCAATACAAAAAGTTCCAAGTCAGAAATGGTATATGTATGGCATAAAAATAGTATCTGTGGTATACATATTCAGAGTTCCCAGATACCATTCAAGCTGTCAGCGTGTGAGCAGCAAGATATAAGATGAGCAGTGTCCAAGGATTTTATTGAGGGAAAACCAACAAAGTAATACTGGGAAAAAAAAATCATTTTCTGAAAATCAGCACATTCTACGAGCGGGTGACTTAGTGGAACAAGGCAGTTCTGACAATAAGGTGCAGTTCTTTGTTCCATTAACACATTCACTGTGGGGTTCTCCAGTGAGAACTATTAGGGTTTCCACATTGTGTGAAGATTGCACAGACACATATGGGACACTGTAGATACAGTCTGCATATGTTGTATTTGAGTGCAACCACCAGAGGTCTTGCTTGGATGAACTTGGAAAAAGATCATGCTTGGGAGGATTATGGAGTACATACTGTAAATCCCCTTTTTTGGGGGAACCACAGCACGAGCAAACTATAACAATCAAGGAAGGTCCTGTTTATTTTTCACAATTTTCTCTAGAATTTCACAATCAAATTTTTGCCCCCACCCCAAAAAAAATGAAAAAAATATTGATCCCCACAATAGGTAGCCCCTAAATAAAGGCTGCAGTGGAAGGGTCAAGAGCTATTAAGTAATCTTCTGTAGGCAGTATGTAATCTAGCCAGAGATTATTCCAACGTCTTGTATTGGTGACAAGGAAAGCAATATATAAATAGATCACATTTTATAACATGTAATTTATTATTAGAATCAGCTTAACTATTTTATACATTGTTGCTGATGGGGTCATAAATGACAGGGGTTGGAATCCAAGTACATTATAAAATTTGTTTCTGGGAAATGGGACAGGCATGTCTTACTCTAGAACCATTGAAAATGGAAGGCCAAGTAAGTCAAATGCTAAGTTCAAAAACATAACTCATTTCTAGTGCAATAGTTGTTTGGAACTGGGTGTTTGTGTGTGTCTGTGGTTTGGATTTTTATTATCTGCCTTATCCTCAGTCCAGTGCTCATTATTGTTTCAAGCAATTCCTCCTTACATTAAATAATAAATATCTAATTACCCCAGGCTAAACTTTAATAAAAACAAGTTTTCGTCCCATTCCCAACATGAATAATGTACAACACATACAACAACTTTCAACAATATTTCTTCCACTTCTCATTGTTCTAGCTCATACTAATGTTGAAAATTACAAGCTACTACTTGCTTGCAATTTTCAGAGCACACACTACTATTCCCACTGCCATTCTCCCCCCAAATCAGATTGTCCATCTGTAATACCCTTCTCCCTTGCAAGATCCTTTTCTTTGTCAAGCTTGACCATGCTGAACGATCTCAATTTTACAGACTATATATATTTGGCTCTTGGAGTTAATGCACTTGTAGTGTGTGTGTGTAGTATGTATTTTACTCCTGAAAAAAAAAAATGTGAGTAATCAGATTACAGAGTGTCCATTAATTTATCGTAATATGCTAATACATGAAAATACAAATTTCTGTGAAATAACCAAATGCTTCGTGAAATAAAATGGTATTGAATTAGTAAAATAAATTATCTTGTGAAAATCAACCACAGCAAAGATCAAGACGTTTGCATTGTTACAGGTAACCAAAGAAAGTACAATTCTGGCTTGCAGCTGAAGCACTTTAATAAAATAATTGTGTAATACAGGAAAGGGCACAACTATGATGCTCTTTGGTAAACTGAAACATTCTGCACAATATACATATTTTGTCTTCATATTTACAACCATAATACCATACTGCATCAGTAGACTCGCTGGATTCACGTACAGAAGACATAATATATGGCATCGTTTAGACCTGCATTTATACTAAAGCCAAGAAGTCTTCGCCTTAAAACAAGAGGACGGATAGACATTAAATGGACGGACAATGTTGTTAACACTTATAAGCCACAGATTTTCAGTCTTAAATATCAACTCTAAAATTTGATTACACACATTAAACAAATGGATAATACCTGAAACCTGACACTTATGGTAGTGAATGATGCAAGTACAGCAAATTCAACTTTCACACCCATCTGTCTTCCATCATTCAAATGTGCACAAAGGAGTTTTCACTGAACAATTCCACTCGTTCAGTGCGCGAAAATATTGCCTTGAAGATACAGTACTACTGCACATTTCTGGCCAGATCCATCATGGTATTAATTAGTCATATATGTAAGAGTTACTTCCTTTGCACATTCAAATCCTTTATTCAGTATTTTGAAGAATGCTACTAACCTAAGTTACATTGTTAAAATGTTAACAAACCTTTGTGGATTCTAAAAATCTTATCTACTGCATTTGCTTTAATTAATATTAAAAATTATTACAGAACAGTCTGAGAAATAGTGCAGTACTTTGCTTTATCTGTAAGTAAAGAGCTTTTCAAAGCACAGAGAATTCTCACACTAATGAAACCTAGTTTATTCCAAGAATTGAATGTAAAGATTTATAAATAAATTTTAGAGTGCATTTTTTTATTTATATTAAATTAATTTTGTTATCAAAATACCTTACAGTATGCCCAAATACATGCTCTATAATTTACACTACTAAAAACATTTATGGGAAAAATACCGCGCACCAGATGACAAAAATAATCACTTGCACATAAACCAATCGATCTTTTCAAGCAAGAATTTGTTACACACAGAGATCACACTAACGTGATGCATCAAATGAACAAATCCACAAGGGCCGTGACAAGGATCCTCGTCACGGCCCTTGTGGATTTGTTCAAGAATTTGTTGTAAAGCATATACTGTACATGCGATTAAAATATAAACACGTGAAAAGATAAGCTTGGCATAATTGTTATTACAGTACTGTAATTATATAAAAAAAAATACATCTGAAAATATTGTAAAGTAATTTTTTACAAGTAACTGTAAGAGTCTACAATACCATATGTTCAATATTCTAGTTTCAATTTTACTGCTGGCACTCTGCGCTAACATGTTAGCGAGTTAACCACTGCACGGTTCCCGACTTTCATGTGATGAGAAGGTATCAGCCAAGAGAAAAATTTAGAGAAAGGCAGCCAAGATTCTATGACACCCTCCCATTCACTCCATCTTTCACAATGTCTGCCATCATATGCCCCTCATTGCTGTCACAGTCTGTCAAGCTATCCACAGCTGTGACCCACTGTATTCCTTTCTGTTAAGTGCTTCCTGCAATTTGTCATTTAAGATATGACAAACATTCCCTTCCTAAAACTAATTCTACTTGATGTTATCTTCACATGCTTTTCATCAACAGTTCCCATTCGATTCCAGCTGTTCACCATGCATTCGTTCAATATGAACCAGAACCATTAAAACACTTTTCTCAAGTCTTACGATCTGACTTTTGCAGTCCATACCATTCTAAGACATCCTCATGAAAAGTGACGAGGAGATACACAAGAAATCCAATATGAGGTTCTAGGTTTACAAAACAGAACCAGAGTGGATATTTAGGGTGGGACGTGATGAACCACCAAAAGCAACATTAGGCAATAGTCAACAAGAAGATAAAAGTGTGCAATAAGGCAAAAATTATTATACCTGCGGGGGTAGCAACACTCATTGTCTTCAAGTCATACAGGACGGCCACAACCAAATTCCCCAGCAGAAAATGTCTTACAAACGTAAACTTCAAACCTTCATTATTGGCTAAATTTTGTTATTTTCTGAACTCGTACAATCACTTTTCTGTCAATGTGCTGCCCACTACACTTAATGGACTAATTTTCTATAGGTATTAACTCTTAAACTGCACAACACATCAATAGCTGTGGTGAGTAACTGTCACAGAATTGCGTACCACAGCTATTGATGTGTTGAAGTACCATGCAAGATTTAAAAATCCCACAGTTACACGGGGTTCACATCAGCTTCCTCAGGGTTCTTGTAAACCGACGGCATTTAAAAAAAAATCGTGGGCAACATTCTCGGGTGTGAGAGCATCGGTACTGAGTGAGCAACCAAGGCTGGTGCATGCAGCATGAGCTAACAGCACTGCTGTTCAGCTTGTGACCACAGCATCACCTAAAAATGTAAAAAAATATATGTAGCCGTTATTATTTAGCGATGATAGTATTACAGAAGACCTCTATTTGATAAAAATTACCAGGATTCTGATAATAGTAGGATTGTTGTGATAATTAGCACTGTGCTGTATGGTGGGAGGAGTAATGCTGAGGGAGGGAGATAGCGTCATCTGCTGACTCTGAGTGGCCACTGTTATTGTCTGCATTCACCATACCAGTTCAGTGGTTCTCTATGATGAACACAAATGTAGATACAACATGTGTATTAGCGTAATAACAGCAAAAGGATTATGTTGGAAGGAGCCAGTTGGGTGATGGAGAGTGGCATCATCTGCATGACTTTTCTAGCTGTGTAGAGGGTGGCCACTATGCTCTTTGGGCACCATACCAGCTTAGTTGTACAGTTATGGTGAATAAAAACATGTAGATACATATAATGTGTGAATATAGTGTAATAACACCTCAAACAGAATTGTTGGGGGAGAAATGTTAGTGCGTCTGATCTTGAACCAGCGAGGGAGGCAGCCGCCAGCTGACTGTGGGTGTGTGTGGCAACGTCTCTTATTGCCTGAATTCACCATACCAGCTTAGTTGTACAGTTATGGAAAATAAAACATGTAGATACTTGTATATAATATCTGTATACCCTGTAATAGTGAATGAAAGCAAAAACAGTATGGTGGGAGGAGAATGCTGGCGTGTAAGGTGTTGTTGACGGAGGAAGTGGCGGCGAGTGATTGGCTGGTGTGGTGGCCACTTCTCATTGCTTTTTGACTCACCATACCGACTCGTTGGTTCGTTATGGTGAACAACACATGCAGATACTTATATATAACCTGTGTGTATATAGTGTGTAATACTGTAACAGCAAAACTATTTGTTTATTGTTTTATGAACATAATAGAATCACTAATATGCACACCATAATTTTGAGTATACCCCTTCCAAACATTATAAGAGATAAGTGTTTCTTCCCATAAGAAATATTTTTTATGGGAAAATTTGTTTCGGGTTGCGAATTTTTGGGTTATGACCCGTCACTGGGAACGGATTAAATTTAAAAACTGAAGTATCACTGTAGTACTACATTCAAGTGAAATTTTACCACATAATATCCGCAAGCATAACCAAAATGATAACCTTTCCCAATGATGACAACCCGTTTGCCTTGTTACTTTTTTGTTTATTGGGACATAATACAGTAGTCTAATACACAGACAACATTTACTGTGTTTCGTGTAAAATCACTATGCATACTCTATATGCAACGACAGTACACTACGTAAATCTTCATGTGAAGATAAGCAAGTGTGTGTTACAACCTTTATAAAGCAGAAGATGGCCACGTTGCAATAAAAGTAACGGGAGCACTGCTAGCAGAACTGGTTTGCAGGGCAGGTAACTGCAGCAGCTGTGTGGCCAATGGTGAACATGTCACTGGAGTTTCAGTTGGAAATGATGCCAAGGAATCCTGCTCCTTTGACTGGAGACTAGATGGTGCTTGTTGGAAAGGCAGAGAAGTTGCTTGAAGGTCACTACCAATAGATGTGACATCTGTTGAAAATGATGTCGAGGATATTCCATCTTGTATTGTATCCTGACCATGTTGAACACTAATAGAGTTAGTATCCAGTGTTGTAAACAGAACAGGTGTTGAAAGACCAATCCTTCCTGTGCTTATTGTTCCAAGTTGTTGGTGCAAAAGAGGTAGTCCTGCATCATGAGAAGGTGGCACATTCTCAGCAATTAGGCTTCCACTATGAGGGTGAGTTTCATTAGAAACCATTATTTCCTGCAAGTGTGTTGGTGCATTCTGCACAGTATACACAGCTGGAGGGTTGCATTCTTTTAAAGTAATTACTACCATATGCTCTTCATCAACTTGAACTGTATTTCTTACATCATGCCCACTAAATGCATCTTGTTGGAAATCATCTCCTACATGAACACACCTCTGGTGGCGACGCAAGACAGTGCTCTTATGGAAGGCTTTGCCGCAAGCACATTTGAATGGCTTTTCTCCAGTGTGTGTTCTAAGATGACTCTTTAAACTCTCTTTAGCTGTATAAGATCTAGGACACTGTCCGCATGCAAAGGGCCTTTCTTTTGAGTGATGTGCTAATTGATGACGTCGCAGATCTTTCTGCGTGGCCATTGACTTACCACACACTTCACACAGTAACCTTACATCATCAGAACTATGAAAGCGCTTTTTATGTGCACTTAAGTTACAGATGCGTAAAAAGGCAGAACCACAGTCAACACACACATACTTTTTATCTTGTGTATGAGTATTAACATGCACTTTCAGGGCATAAGATGTCTGAAACATGGCTCCACAGAATTTACAACTAAAGTTCCTAGTTCCAGAATGTATTATTTTGTGGTTTTCAAATGAGGACTTATCAACAAATCCTTTGTTACACTTCTCACAAGTATACTTGATTGGGAGTACAAAGTGACACCTTTTTATGTGTACAAAATTAAGATAGCGGTAAGTCCTGAAAGCTTTGAGGCAAATGCGACACTCGAAGAATCGGGAATCAGGATGATTGCTTATGATATGTTGATCAAGAGAATTTTGACTTGGTGCCTGAAAAGAAATTAAATTACATGAGCATGTTACACAATATTATGGGGATAAAAAAAAAATTAATGCAACAAAATACAGTACTGTACCTGCATTTTGCTAATAAAATCAACTTATTTCCAGCCTTTATCAGCATTCAACTACAATATTAATGTGCAGAGCTATCAATAACCAATAAACAATAAAAATTGTCGTAAATAATTATCAAAAGGCACCAAGCTGGATTTTCATACCAAATACAGTAGTAATACAGTACCTTGGCAGAATTCTGATGATAATACAATTCTTTTAAGAATCATATAATACGGAAACTTGGTTTTTTATCCATTTAGAAGTGACTGATCAGCTTTAAAACCATAGGATAAAAAAACCAGCGTTGAATGTAATGAAACGCCATTTTCTGGGTGAGACCTGGAGCTATCCATTATGATATTGCTAATATTAGACTTTGGCATCAGTCTGTGTGAATGGATTTCTTTAGGCCTGCAGGGGACTCTCGGGCCAGAACCTGGCCCCCCTCAGAGAGGCACGAGGAGCAATGGCCTATAGAAACCCCCATGTGGTTGGAAGTATGTCTGCCATCGACTGGGTCAGGCACCCAGAAAGGTAAGCATCCCAAAACAAAACAACCCTATTCTAGTTAAGAAATTGCTACTGAGAGCTAAACTAGTGGACAGAACTCCCCAAACAAAAACAAGCTAACAAGGTCCGAACCGCACAACCCGCCTGTTGGGGAGGGTGCCAACTAGGAGTATTTAACACTTTAGTGCGCGCGGCACTCGCTGAAAAAAAAAGCGGGTTGTGCGCGCGGCGTTCTGGGCGCTCAAGCGTAAACACAAAAAAGTTTATAATCTTTTCACGCTCCTAACATCAATTCTCGAGCTACGTTTTTCATTTTGGTATCAATGCGTTGGCAATAAAATTCTCTACAAGATCATATGCATAAAATGTCACCCAAGCATTTGCTATCCCACCACGAAGTAAATAAACACGAAGATGACTCGCCGTGACACCCAAACAGGAAGTAAATGTTCATACTCTTTCGTTTGTTGCCAGCCTCACAGTCATCCTACAGTGCTTATTTTGATATCACTGAACTCGCAATAAAATTCCCCACCCAGACATATGCCTATCAATGTCTAATTATGTTCCGCACGAGTGTGGGAACTGGGCGAAGCATTAGCCGTGATTTCAGCAGCGACGACACTGTTGTGATGCAGCGCTTTGAAAGTTTATACTTATTTCACTGTCATGACATTATTTCTCGAGCTACGTATTTCATTTTTATAGCAATGTGTTCGCAATAGAAAGTTCTATAAGAACATGGGTAGAATTGGCCAACAGAGCGTCAAATAAATTTGCAGCGAATAAAATCTTACGCGAATCTTACGCGTGTTTGTACCCGTGAGCGTAAAAAGTTTTTACTTTGCTCATGTTTTTTCAAGTTTATACTTGATTCACTCCGTTTTTTTTGTTTGTATAGTGTTCGGAATAAAATTCTCTACACAGACATATGCATATAAATGTAGAATCATGATCGCGGCCAACACAAGAGTGTGTGGAGTGCGCGATTACCCTCGTTGTGTCACCAATTCAATAGTCTCTCCTCTAAGTTACAATACATTGCCATTTTCTCAAATAGGCACAGTGTCTATTAGAGAAAACAAAAATTTAATGGCAAACATATTCACACAAACCCCAAGTGGATCGAGTAGTAAATACCCAATATAACACGGTCCGTAAATTTACGTCGTGATCCGACAAGCGGTTAAGCAAAACGCCCGTAATTCCAAGTGGAAAATCCAGAAAAGTGTTAATGAATATTATCAATGCCAAGACAGCACGGAGAGAAGATGTAATTATAAAAGAATGAGATAAAGTATCGAAAACCAAGAAGCACGTGAAGCAGAGAGTGGGCAAGTGAAGCAGAGAGTATTGCGAGTCAGGGAAGTAAAGTGGCTGGTTAGAAACAACAAGTGGGACTGCATGAAAGTTTGCTAGTGCCAAACTCTACCTAGATGTACTGTAGGGTCCCGGTAGTACATACAGTCGGGGTCGTTCTTGACGAGCAATCGAGAATTCCAGGTTCGAATCCTGGGTGGAACAGAAATGGTTGGCACATTTCCTTTCACCTAATGATCATGTCACCTACAGTGAGAGGTACTCAGGAGTTAGTCAGGCTTGTTGTGAGGTTGTATCCTGGGCAGGGTTAGTAATTCATCCTTTGGGGGGGGGGAAAGAACACCTTGATAAAAGTCAAAACATGTATGAATACACACTGGGTTTCTGTTCCCCAACACTATGAACTTTAATTATACTGTATGAGTATGTGTGGTGTTGGGAGAATTCATCAAGGAACTATAATATTCAAAGATAATAGAACTTTAACGTTAATAAACTGCAACATTGGAGAGCATACCAAGATAGTGTGAGAATGTGTAATACTTTTGACTGCAATAAGCGAGAATACTTCCCACATAAAAAAAAAAAACTCGCAGCAATAAGCAAGTTTTGTTAAATGTCTCAAAATAATTGTTTACATATCCTTTAACAGTTATTCAAACATCTGGCTTATACAGAACAGGAATTTGAGTCAGGTAGCTGCTACTGTTTGGTGATAATACAGTACAGTAGAGGGAAACTTCTTTCCCCCATGAGGTAGATCTAAGTCCAGTAGCAATGCCTAGTCCTTGTTCAACAATGAGTCATCATTAGGAGTGCTATATTAATTAATAATAAATATGTAGAAGGCATTATTTTTCTTGAAAGCAATTAAAGTAAATGAGAGCATGTACATCAATTGTAGACAAAAATGGTATGCAATTTAAGACTCCTTTAATATACTTATTGCTTTCATTATTGAAGATAGTCTATGCATTTGATACACTTTTTGCCTGCTATTAGATTACTTGTAAAATTATTTATACCTGTATATGGCATAATGGCAAAGAAAATTTATTTAGTAATCATTTGTTACATCTAAACATCTGTGATGGCTTTTGTTTATACAGTATACGGAAAAAAGTTTTCTTATTATACAGTAACTGTAATAACAGAAAAAGACCTCCCTCTCCAATTTGTTTGTTTTTTATTTCTAACTATGCATAATGATTGTATTGACTTGATGTATAATGATATTTTGACTTGAAAACACTTAAGGCCTGAAATTACTTTGATAATTCTCAGAAATCAGGCCACTTGTAGATATTTTGGTGCAGCATTACTAATTCAGGTACACCATATTGCTCAATTGTGTCTCAACTTTTCTATAACCCCCCCTTGAGCTGTTATTTCTTTGAACGTTTCTTCTTTATCAACTCGGAATCTAATGCTATCACCATTAGGAAGTAATAGTTTCCCCTATTCTTTCTGTTCTCCAGTATGGCAATGAGCATTTCCTTAGTCTCTACTTGCAGCTCAGTTTCCTTGGCTAGGGAATAAGCTTTGTTGTATACCTTCGAACCTTATTTAAGTTTGTTTTCTACTTTTTCAACGGGGGAAGAGGTACCTGATGATACATTCAATAACAAATTTACCAAAGTCTCTTGTAAATTACCCACCTCATGGTCACACGCTGGGCACTGATGGACTGGAACTTTATGGATTCGTCTGAGGTGTTGCGTTAGTTTGGCCTTCTCTCGATAACGGGTGTCTGTACACTTCTCACAAACGTGACAATATACAGAAGCATGTACATCTCCTCTGTGTTTTGCTAGCTGTTTTGCATCACTAAATCTCTCTCCACACAGCTCACAGGTCATCATGTTATTTTCACCTCTCTGGAATTAAGACACCAAGACAAGGGACTGTAATATAAATGAAAATTCAATAAGAGATTTTCACTGGTTTCAAAAATATTTAGTCTCATTACCTGGACCGAGGCCAGGCTTTCCTGGTATGCTTTGGTCCTACAAGCTCACACATACAACCCAGGTGACCTAGCCCTCTGGCAAGTTACAGCTTACCTACCGAAATGTTTCTTGTATGATGGTATTACTTGCATACCTAATATCTGATTAGGACCAAATAGCTTATATAAAAAAGTGCAAAAAATTAAATCTCAATCTTTTATTAGATTATCCAACTTTTCAATAATCCAAAGGTACCAACTGGTCTGGAAAATTGAGGTTAGACTGTATAAAAGTTACAATATACATATGAACATCATATCTATCTCAATATTGAATATTTGAACTGTGAAATGTTTATATAAAATATCTGTTCTGGTAATAGCAGGCACAATTTTTTACTTCGTACACCACATGTGAACTACCAAGTAAGATGCTCATACAATAGTACATTACCTCTGAGCTCTCGTCTTCCTTTAAGGACCAGTCGTCTTCAAAATCCACTTCTCTTAATACATCCACCTCTATCTCTACCTCTGTTTCTTTAACCTTCTTTTTTCTCTTGTGTCGCTGAAGTTTTGTCTGTCCTAGAGATGGCATTACAAATGGTATTCAGAAAGTAAATGATTTTTTTTTTTTAATTATATATATACATATACACACACACACACACACACGCACAAGAATGTGTATCTGAGCTCAGCATTCCACTTCACCTGATCTTTCAGGCATCCTTGTGTACAAGAGTCGTAGCAGACGTGTGGAAAAAGGCTAACATAGTTCCAATCTACAAGAGTGGCAGCAGGGAAGACCCCCTCAATTATAGACCTGTATTATTGACAAGTGTAATAGTGAAAATATTGGAAAAAATAATAAAAACTAAATGGGTGGAACACCTGGAGAGAAATGATATAAAATCAGACAGACAGTATGGTTTTCGATCTGGAAGACCCTGTGTATCGAATTTACTCAGTTTCTATGATCGAGCCACAGAGATTTTACAGGAAAGAGATGGTTGGGTTGACTGCATCTATCTGGACCTAAAAAAGCCTTTTGACTGGGTTCCACATAAGAGGTTGTTCTGGAAACTGGAAGATATTGAAGGGGGTGACAGGTAAGCTTCTAACATGGATGAAATATTTTCTGATAGAAAAATGAGGGCAGTAATCAGAGGCAATGTATAAGACTGGAGAAATGACACAAGTGGAGTACCACAGGGTTCAGTTCTTGCACCGGTGATGTTCATTGTCTACTTATATAATATACCAGTTGGAATACAGAATTTTATGAACATGTTTGCTGATGATGTTAAGATAATAGGAAGGATAAGAAACTTTGATGAGTGTCATGCCCTTCAAGAAGACTTGGACAAAATAAGTATATGGAGCACCACTTGGCAAATGGAATTTAATGTGAATAAATGCCATGTTATGGAATGTGGAATATGAGAACATAGACCCCACACAACCTATAAATTATGTGAGAACTCTTTAAAGAATTCTGATAAAAGAAAGAGATCTAGGGGGTGGTTCTCGATAGAAAACTATCACATGAGGACCACATAAAGAACGTTGTGCAAGGAACCTATGCCACGCTTTCTAACTTCAGAATTGCTTTTATATTCATGGATGGCAAAATACTAAAGAAATTGTTCACGACTTTTGCTAGAATATGCAGCGGTTGTGTGAAGTCCAAATCTTAAGAAGCACATCAACAAACTGGAAAATGTGCAAAGACATGCTACTAAGTGGCTCCCAAAACTGAAGGGCAAGAGCTACAAGGAGAGGTTAGATGCATTAAATATGCCAAAACTAGAAGACAGAAGAAAAAGAGGTGATATGATCACTGTGTACAAAATTGTAACAGGAATTGATAAAATCAATAGGGAATATTTCCTGAGACCTGGAACTTCAAGAACAAGAGGTCATAGATTTAAACTAACTAAACAAAGATGCCGAAGAAATATAAGAAAATTCACTTTCGCAAACAGAGTGGTAGACAGTTGGAACAAGTTAAGTGAGGTGGTGGTGGAGGCCAAAACCGTCAGTAGTTTCAAAGCGGTATATGACAGAGTGCTGGGAAGACGGGACATCACGAGCGTAGCTCTCATCCTGTAACTACATTTAGGTAATTGCAAGAGTTCTTACATCCCTTGTATAGCCCCCTAGCACGCATGGCATTTCAGGCAAGTACTTAATCGTAATATTCCCCAGAATACCACCCGCCAAATCATTTAACAACCAGTTACAGTACCAATTTTATGGTTGGGTAAACAGAGGCTACAGTTAAGGACTGGCGCCCAGTAAATCCTCCCTGGCCAGGACACGAACCTAGGCCAAAGCACTCGCGAAATACCATGCAAGTATCTTACCACTACGTCACAGGGACTGCTAAAGTAGGTTCCATTGTACAGTATTTCAATTATGTATTTCTGCAAATTTTTAGGCCTCACCAGCTAGTGCAAAAATAAATTTTTGCTTTGAAGGACAAAGAAATTAGTTCACAATGATAACACTTAATACTTACGTTTGCATCTTCGTGGCCTTGTTTTAGTTGTCCCATTTCTAACTATGGTGGAATTATTTATATTCTCCTCTTCTATACATACACTTACATCAAGATTATTCATGTCTGTAAATACAGATGTACTCCTTCCTGCATTCTCTGTTTCCACTGGACAAATTTCAATACTGCTTGTGGGCTGGTCACAATCTTCCAATTTCACTGTGTCAGCAAGATGTTCACTGGTGGGACTAGATGGACAATCTGGCAAAGATGATTCACACTTGGGTTTTTTAAATGTGATCCTCTGGTCATCATCGTTGTGAGTAATACAACTTGCTTCAGTGTTACCCTCAAGATTATGTGATGGTACTAACTCACTGAACTTCCTTGCATGATTGAATGACAACTTGCCAATATCATTGCATTGTTCATTTTCAACACTATCACACAAGTCAAATTTAATGGAAAATGTTTTCTCACATTCTGATCTATTTTCGGATAACAAATCATGATTTGAACAGTCAATAATATCAGATTCTTCACCAGATATGTTTGTGAAAGTTTTTATGCTATCCCCTTGATAGCCTTGCTCAGATCCAGGATTAACACTCCACTCTTTATTTGCACAAACTCTTGGCTCTTTAAATAAATCTTCATCGGGTGTAAGTCTGGGCATCACTTGGGCTGTTAGGGATGCATCAATGCCACCTTTACGAGACTCTATTCCACTTTTGAATGTTTCTCGAAATTCATTCTGCAATGTTACTATTTTACATTCAAGGTTAACAATATTTAATAATATTTTCAGACATAACGAACATACAACTTCTGACACACGACATGCTTCAAGCACGTCCTCAGAACTCACAACCCGAGATATCTGGCTTAGGATAGTACCATTCTTTGCTGCCAGATTTGAGTTTATGTTAACTGATGCTTCTTTGATGAGCTTGTTGCACACCAAGCACCAGCTATCAAGACTAGATTCCATGGCTGCTACACCTCACTTGACGAATCTAAAAAAAAAAATACATTTCAGTGGCAGACAATGTAAGTACAGCAGACCTATTGCAGTATACAATTTTAAATGTATATAAATAAACACAGTATATACAAAAGTTCTTATATTTTTGTAAAGCCACCAGCACGCAGAGCATTTTGGGGAGGTCCTTAATCCTAATTTTCCCCAGAATACTACCTGCCAAATCGTTAACGACCAGGTACCCATTCACTGCTGGGTGAACAGAGGCTACAGTTAAAGACTGGCACCCAGTCAATCCTCCATGGCCAGGATACAAACCCAGTCCAAAGTGCTCATGAAGCCAAAGCCTGAGTTTTTTACCACTGCGCTAAGGGGAATTCACCCTCAGGACTGTGATGGCATTAACTCTCTGTTCATTTTCACAAATTGTCAATCAGCTGGTTCTTTATACAACAAAAACGAATGACAAGATGTAAAAAATGTATTTGAAATGTTTTTAATTACATGGTGCTAAAGTCAAGTTTAAATCTGAAGAAAATGCCTAAAGCTTGATGTTAAAGCCTTCACACTAATGTGTGGCATTTTGCATTGGACTAAGCACCAAGCAAAGACAAACTCACTAAAATACAAAACTGAGCCAGAAGATAACACATGTATACAGCACCAGTAAATTCCAAATAAGCCAATTTCACCATGTTAACATTTTATTAATTTAACTGTAGAGAGCCGAGAAAACACGGTTTTTGTAGATAATCAAAAAATAGCAAGCACTTGGCTCTGACAGAATTATATGGTGGACATAAATGGTATTTGAAAGACTTGAGAAATCAAATAAAGCAAACAGATGGTTTATGGAGAATAACCAACATGTATTGAATTAGTGGAATGTTAAATGCAGTGAAAAACAGTTATACAGGAAAAAGAAAATATGCAAGCGTTACTGGTGTACTAAGAAACTTCAAATATTAATGCAAGAAAATACCAAGAGCTCTGTACTACTAGTTGTGCTTGCGAGGGTTGAGCTTTGGCTCTTTGGTCCCACCTCTCAACCGTCAATCATCTAGTGTACAGATTTCTGAGCCTACTAGGCTCTATCATATCTACATTTGAAACTGTGTATGGAGTCAGCCTCCACCACATCACTTCCTAGTGCATTTCATTTGTTAACTACTCTGACACTGAAAAAATCTCTCTCTCTTCTCTGTGGCTCATTTGGGTACCAAGTTCCCACCTGTGTCCCCTTGTTCGTGTCCCACCCGTGCTAAAGAGTTTGTCTTTGTCCACCCTGTCAATTGCCCTGAGAATTTTGTAGCTGGTTATCATGTTTCCCATTACTCTTCTGTTTTCCAGGGACATGAGGTTCAGCTCCTTTGGCCTTTCCTCGTAGCTCATACCTCTCAGTTCCGGGACGAGTCTGGTGGCATGCCGCTAAATTTTCTCTAGCGTTTTGTCTTGTATTTAACTAGGTATGGACTCCAGGCTGGAGCTGCATATTGCAGAATTGGTCCGACTTAAGTGGTATATAGGGTCCTGAACGATTCCTTACACAAGTTTCTAAAGGCAGTTTTTATGTTGGCCAACCTAGCATATGCCACTGATGATATCCTTTTGATGTGGGCCTCTGGGGGACATGTTCGGTGTGATATCAACCCCCAGATCTTTCTCTCTATTTGGCTCTTGCAGGATTTCACCTCCCAGATGGTACCTTGTTATCAGCCTTCTGCTCCCTTTGAATAATTTCATTACTTTACACTTTCCAGAGTTGAACTTTAGTAGCCATTTTCTAGACCATTCCTCCAGTTTGTCCAGGTCATCCTGTAGTCTTGTGAACTGTGATGTCCCCCTGGTTGTTAAGTCACCAGTCTCCAGACACCTGATAAAATTACCATTGTTCTCGGTGGATAAAACAGTACAGTATTTGGGTTATGGATTGCAAAAGTTATGCTACGTGTCAAGAGAAGAGCCCCTGTTCTATAAGATGAGAGGGATAGAAGCTGTGCATGCAAAGCTCTCCAGTATATATAAATTACCTGCATATGGTCCTGTAGTGCAGTGGTCTACATCAGTGGATCACAATCGAGCAACCCGGAAACAACAGTTTGTCTTGGGCAGAACAAACTATTTAGCATTTTCCTTTCTCCTGATGCACCTGTTTACCTAGCAGTAAATGAGTACGATGACCAAACCACACATCAGAAAATGAAGAAACGACTACAATTCGGTCTGTCCTGGACCGTTATAAAGTCTACAAGACTTCTTAATGGTCCAAGACCAACCGAAACATCATGTCTTCATTTTCTGACGGGTGGTTTGGCCATCATACCTATTTACTGCTAGGTGAACTGAGGCATTAGGTGAAAGGTAACGTGCCCAACTATTTCTGTCCCGCCCGGAATCGAACCCGGGATCCCCCGACTGTGGATCGAGAAGGAAACCAACTGAACTACTTGTACCCCAAGAGTGCTCGTCTCCAGCTAGTAACCCCATGTACCGGTACTTAGAGTAATGCCTCTATCTAAAGAGGACAGACTTATTTAATTATTTATTTATATATATACAAGAAGGTATAATGGGATTGTAAGGATACATAGCATAGTAATTACATTCTTGTAAAGCCACTAGTACGAGCAGCGTTTCGGGCAGGTCCTTAATCTAAGAAGTACGTACTTGAGTACCTGCAGGTGAGACCTCCCGTCATAATACAGGTTCACATCTGTCCCAGCATCTGTCCCTGCCAGTGACAGGGGGGAGCACCGTCCCGTGAGCCGTGGAAGGGTAAACAGTGAAGGGCGAGCAGCACCCGGACAGCCGACCCTCGCCCCTCCCTCCTCGCCGCCTTTGGCAACAACTGTGATTCACATTACAAGTAACAGATGGCGGTAAAGATTCTGGGGAAGAGGAGGATGGGGGAGCTCTTATTAGGCATCTCCAGTGATGTCATGCCACCACGTGCTGTGTGGAGACATGTAGCGTACAGGTATATTTGGACGTATTATAACTGATGGTACGAGGCTGATTTCTCCCGTATTATACCTGGTGTATGAGATTGAGCCTAGGGTCCCTCTCCTCCCTCTCCTTCCCCCTCACACCCCCACCTATCCAAATATCCTTCTCTCTCCCCCTCCCCTCTCATTTCTCTTCTCCAATCCCTCTCTCTCCTCCCATCTAACCCCATCTGTCATCCTTTCCACCTTTTCCCCCTCCTCCCACCTTCCCTCTTCCCCAACATCCCCCACTCCCCCTCTCCTTCAGTTTCCCCCCCCCATCTCTTTCTCAGAAAATTTAGGTGCGGAAGTCTGAAAACGGCTAAAAATTTGTTGAAAAAACAAATCCTACACTTCAGACCTGAAAATCGAAAGCGCTCACTATAGGAGTCCACTGCGGGCTCGTCATAGCCCGTGCTACTTGGAACTTTGTGTTCCAGGTAGCAAATCTTAAACAGCTCATTATAGACGCCGATAGTTCATAAAGTGTGACACTGGGGCCGACCTCCAGACTGACCTATGACACTTCTACGCACCCCGTTCTCCCTTATGTGTCATCTTGGAAAGGTTTTATTGTATAAATATATAAACTAACAGACCGTTATCACCGTTAGGTGAGCAGAGGCAACAAGTGAAACGAAACCTTGCCCAAACGTTTCTATATCCTCTATATTATATGTCCTCCTCTATACTGAGTATATCCTCTATACTGTGGGTATACGCTTCTATATCACAGTAGAGAGTGTGGGTGTTGTAGTCACAATAGACAGTGTAATTAGTGACATACTGATATACATGGTAATCCTTACCTTGCTAATACATATTACCTTACACATAATGACATATTTTTAATCGGGTATACCAGCATACCAAAACAATATAGTATATACTCGAGTATATCTTCTTGAGGTTATCTTGAGATGATTTCGGGGCATAGCGTCCCCGCGGCCCGGTCCTCAACCAGGCCTCCTTCTGACCTTCCGCAGGCTGCAACCCGCAATAGTTGCCTGACTCCCCAGTACCTAGTTCACTGCTTGGTGAATGGAGGCATCAGGTGAAAAGAAGCTTGCCCAACCGTTTCTGTAACCGTGTAAAGCACTGTGATATGCATCCATTTATTTAATAAACGATTTCATGTTAATATTACACATAGGATCTCTTAGTACAGTCGGCTTCGTTCTCGGCTCACAATCGGGGATCCCGGGCGAGACAATAGTGATTTAGCACGTTTCTCTTCAACTAATGCCGCTGTTCACCTAGCAATAAATAGGGACCCGAGAGTTAGGCAACAGTTGTGGGCTGCAGCCGGTGGCTGAGCGGACAGAACACTGGATGCATGATCCTGTGGTCCCGGGTTCGATCCCAGGCGCCGGAGAGAAACGATAGGCAGAGTTTCTTTCACCCTGATGCCCCTGTTATATAGCAGTAAATAGGTACCTGGGTGTTAGTCAGCTGTCCCGGGCTGCTTCCTGGGGGTGGAAGCCTGGTTGAGGACCGGGCCGCGGGGACACTAAAGCCCCGAAATCATCTCAAGATAACCTGTATCCTGGGGTGGGGTCAGTATGGCTACCTTGACTATGGGTAGACGATGGCTATGGTTGACTATGGACTTTAGAGGGACCTCAATACAAGCCTAAAGCATATATGTTCACAGGCTTCCTGTCCCCGACAAAATGAATTACAGTATGTGTATTAATGTTTACATTTGGGGTTAAATAATGGTTATTTATGATTGTTACATAGGAAAAAATACTAGTCAGGACAGGAACAGTGACGGAGTGTTCCGTCAGCGGTGCGTTGATGACCCCCAGGACCTTGCTGGGGTCAAGTGTTCCGTCAACGGTGGGTTGATGACCCCAGGACCTTGCTGGGGTCAAGTGTTCCGTCAGCGATGGGTTGATGACCCCAGGACCTTGCTGGGGGTCAAGTGTTCCGTCAGCGATGGGTTGATGACCCCAGGACCTTGCTGGGGGTCAAGTGTTCCGTCAGCGGTGTGTGGATGACCCCAGGACCTTGCTGGGGTCAAGTGTTCCGTCAGCGATGGGTTGATGACCCCAGGACCTTGCTGGGGTCAAGTGTTCCGTCAGCGGTGCGTTGATGACCCCTAGGACCTTGCTGGGGTCAAGTGTTCCGTTAGCGGTGCGTTGATGACCCCCAGGACCTCGCTGGGGTCAAGTGTTTCGTCAGCATGCACTGTACCCATCACGCCATCCCTCCCTGCTCTCCCTCCACCACTGTCAGTCTGCTAGTAAGCCTTACCCTGACCTCCGGATGCTGACGTTCGGGTATTAACATCCGGATGCTGACATTGGGATAGTTACCCCTGACGCTTACCTTCATGAAGCGACGAAGCATGGGAATATCGAGGGAGACGAAGGCAACAGGTCGATGTTAGGGGGCGCAGTACAGGTACAGAATGCAAGATATATTCAACACGACACCCAACTATATTATGTCAGGAACAATGGGATTGGAGGGGACCGTTGACAAGCCGCCAGGTTCCTGTCCCCGTCGAGGCCGCTAGAGATGGTGGCCCTTTAGTAAATTTAAGTAAATATATTTGTATACTTTATACCCAGTATACAGGATGGCGGAAAACAGCAGCAAATACTCCAGAACAGAATCTTCAATGCTTCGTATGACTAGTTTTTTTTTTTTTTTTTTTTTTTTTTTGAGATATATACAAGAGTTGTTACATTCTTGTACAGCCACTAGTACGCGTAGCGTTTCGGGCAAGTCCCTGGAATACGATCCCCTGCCGCGAAGAATCGTTTTTTCATCCAAGTACACATTTTACTGTTGCGTTAAACAGAGGCTACAGTTAAGGAATTGCGCCCAGTAAATCCTCCCCGGCCAGGATACGAACCCATGACATAGCGCTCGCGGAACGCCAGGCGAGTGTCTTGATGAGTGTTGATGTCGTACTAGTTGTGCGTGTCGTACGACTAGTTGTTGACGTCGTACTAGTTGTGCGCATCGTAAGACTAGTTGTTGACGTCGTACTAGTTGTGCGTGCCGTACGACTAGTTGTTGACATCGTACTAGTTGTGCGTGTCGTACGACTAGTTGTTGACGTCGTACTAGTTGTGTGTGTCGTACGACTAGTTGTTGACGTCGTACTAGTTGTGCGTGTCGTACGACTAGTTGTTGACGTCGTACGACTAGTTGTTGACGTCGTACTAGTTGTGCGTGTCGTACGACTAGTTGTTGATGTCGTACTAGTTGTGCGCATCGTACAACTAGTTGTTGACGTCGTACTAGTTGTGCGCATCGTACGAATAGTTGTGCGCGTCGTACGACTAGTTGTACACGTCGTACTAGTTGTGCGCATTGTACGACTAGTTCAATTTCTCTAGGGAGAAATGTGAGATAGAAGGGAAGAGAGGAAAGGAGATGGGGGGGGGAGTGGGTTAGGAGAAAGGTGAAAGGGTAAGAAAGGGAAAACAGGGGGGGGGATGAAGAGGAAGGTAATGGAACTATCAGGAGAGAGCGCCAAGCCATTACGACTATATAGCACTTGGAAGGGGTCAGGATTAGGATTTTGATGGGTAGGGTATCGGGTACCCAGGCACAGCCCGGTACCCTATAGCTATAAAATAGAATGTCAGCTTGTCTGTCTGTCCTAAGTAGGAGACCAGATGCTTGGGGCTAGCCTCACCCAACTATACAAGATATTGGAGGTGTGTAACTGTCATGGGCCAGTCGGGGTAGATCCTAGGGCTACCTTTAAGAAATACCGGCATCTGGCGTCCTCCCCCCCCCCCTGCAAAAGTCATGACGCATAAAATTGGGTGTGCTGTATCCGTAGAGTTACACACTTTTTATTGTGTGCTTCATAATATAATGCATAATGCTTCTGGAATCTGCCAGTGCAGACTGCCTATCACATGCCTCTGTATGACTAACCATCCTGTGTGATGGGGATTTTATAGCGTCACGTAGTTAGCTTTTTTGACACACTGTACTCCACTTCGTATACCTGGTTGATACCTGGTTGATGGGGTTCTGGGAGTTCTTCTACTCCCCAAGCCCGGCCCGAGGCCAGGCTCGACTTGTGAGAGTTTGGTCCACCAGGCTGTTGCTTGGAGCGGCCCGCAGGCCCACATACCCACCACAGCCCGGTTGGTCCGGCACTCCTTGGAGGAATAAATCTAGTTTCCTCTTGAAAATGTCCACGGTTGTTCCGGCAATATTTCTTATGCTTGCTGGGAGGACGTTGAACAACCGCGGACCTCTGATGTTTATAGTGTTCTCTGATTGTGCCTATGGCACCTCTGCTCTTCATTGGTTCTATTCTACATTTTCTTCCATGTCGTTCACTAGTCTATAGTCTAGGGTAGCTGCACAAATGCAGATGTACCTATTGTATTAAAAAAAAATCATAATATT